GGTACTAATATCTAATTCTAGAGAAGTCTACTAAATAATATAGAATATTCTAGTCTTACTAGAACTAAGTTTTTACTATTTCTTAGGTTCTTTATACTCCTATAATCTTTTTTTATCTTAAGTAATAGTATTAGCTCTAGTAGTATCTAATTTATCTTTACTATCTAACTTATTACTAGATATAACCTAGATTACTTTAAGCAGACTATGAGTATTACTTAAATAATAATATAGCTAAGTTTCTAAGTTAAAGTTAACTTAGTATATTAGATAAGAATATATATACTTCCTATATATTATCTTTATATAATTAATAATATAGCTTCTTAATTTATTGCTCCTCTTCCAGGATCTTATATAGTCTAAAGGGGATAGATTTTTAGTACTAAGATAGAAAGGATAATACCCTAGCTAGATAAGAGTATAATAGTAAGTAATTATTTTATACTATTAGGATATACTATACTTAATATAGATATTATAATAATCTTCCTACTCTTTTATAGTATAGAAGGTAAAGTACTTATAATAGTACTTTAGCTATATCTTCTTATACCTAAGTATTATATAATATTCCTTATATTTATAATTCTAGATATAATTAGAGCACTTAGGGCAGGTTAACCTAAGGGGTATTAGAGATATAGTATATAATTAAAAGGGTTTATATTAGTACCTAGCTATAAACTTACTAAGTTAGGTTATATTTCCTAACTAGGCATCTCCTATTAATAGGCTCCTCCCTAGGCTAGTAGAAAATATTATAGTCTTTAGTATAGTAGGCTAACAGGCTTTTTATAATAGAGAGCATATCTTAATAGAATAGATAATTATCTATTAGTATTATATTAGTAATATACTAATAATTAGGCTGTACCTTAAATAAATAGTATATAATATTATTATAAATAACTACTTCTAGATAGAGTGGTTAAACCCAACCCAAGAACCCAAACCCAAACCGGCCCGAACCCGCCATGGGCCGGGTTCGGGTTCAGGTTCTAGGGCCCATGGGCCAGTTGGGTTCTAGAATTAGAACCCATCTAGGGTTCGGGTTCTAAAAATGGGTTTTAATTATAATACCTAGTAATTAGAATACATTAGATTCTATACTAATATGCTATATTTATATATATAATCATATTATATATATATATATATACTAGATACTAGTATGGTATTGAAAAATTAAATACATACTAACTAGATTAGGCAGGCGGAGAGTGATTTTTGGGCTCTTTAGGTTCTATTTAGGTTCACTACCCTAGAACCCGCGGGTTATGGGCTGGGTTTGGGCCCTAGAAATCTAGAACCTGAACCCGGTGGGTTGGGTTCTAAAGATAGGGGAACCCGGCCCAACCTGTGAAAATAACCACCCTACTTCTAGAGCTGTCCCTCTAGCTCTAACTTATATTTTAATATACCTTTAAACCTATTCCTCCCTATACTTAGTAAGTTTAGAGTTATAGAGTTAAGCCTTTAAGACTTATATTTATTTTTTAATAAGCTTAATAGTAAAGCTAGTATTCTTATTAACTTTATTAGTATTACTCTTATTATTAGTATTACTCTCTTTAGCTATACTCTAATTATTAGATTTATTATAATTCTCCTAACTTTATAACTCTTTAAGTTATCTTTTAAGTTTATATAAATCTTTATTTTTTATAATAGCATGCTACTACTTAGCTAGTAGGTGCCTTAGGTAGCTAATTATATAGTATTTTCTAATATCTTTAAAATATTTAATATAGTTAAGGTATATTATCTCTCTAAAGAATATATCTATACTACTTATAATAGAGGTATTATCTATATAGCTTCTATTAAAAATATTAAGATTCTTTTATATAAGTATCTAGCTTCTTTCTAACTTAGTTACTACTTTTATAGGTAAATATTAGACTATTCTACTCTAAAGTAATAAGTAGACTAGATCTTACTATTAAGCCTATTTATAAGACCCTACCTTAGAGTATAAATTATAATAATCTTAGGATATCTAGTATTAATAATAACTACCTAAAATAACTAGTAAAAATACTTCTATATTTATATACTATTAGAGATTCCCCTTAATCTAGTGACTTAGCATAATACAGATTCTCTAGCTATAGATAGTTTCTATAGAAGGGGAATAGGCTTATTATTATCTAGATTCTAGTTTTTTAATATTTTTAATAAATTAAAGTATAGAAAAGCCCTATCCTAAACTACTATTTCTAGAAGCTAAGATATAGGATTAAATTATAACTTACTATACTCTCTTATTATAATATAAAAACTAATTATATAATATTAGCTTTAGAAGACTTTATAGGGTGCTAGTAAAATATATACTATATTCTTAGAATTATTATTATTTTTAATCTATATTTTACTAAGTTAGAAGAAGAGTTCAATCTTACTATCTATTCTATAATATATATAGAGTTTAATATTCTATAGTATATTAGAATAAAAGAACCTAGCTTAGTAGATTTTATAAAGTACTTTATATTAGAGCCTATACTTATCTTTCTTTAATATATCTAATATAAATATACTAATCCAAGCTCTACTATAGTAATAAATTAGGATTATAAATATTAACTAGACCCTATATCTTAAATAGATAAAAATAGGATTATTATTAGTCTATATAGAGATAATAATATTCTTAAGATTATAATATATAAATATATATTTCACCCTTCTAATATCCTTAATAGTATTATCTTTAATAAGTAATTTTAAAATCTATTTTTTATAGTTAGTTTCTATAGAAAGTCCTTTAATAGTAAATCTATAAACTTTATAAATATCCTAAGTATCCTTCTTATTAAAAGTAGACTTAGTAAGATAGATAAAGCCTATAAAGAACTACTCTATAAAATTTAGTATAGATAACTTTATAGAATATAGAGAGATTATTCTATATAAGAAGAATATATAAAATTATATAAAATCCTTAATTATTACTAGGTCTAGTATAAGCTATCCTTTATAAAGGCCCTCTTCTTAGAGTTTTTTATTCTCTTAGGACACCCACCTATATATTTAAGAGATAAAGATTTAGTAAGATAAATAAGTATATATTAAAAGAGTATAGATAGTATTAACCTAATATAATCTAATAGAACTTATTCCTAGAGAACCTTAGATTTATTTAAATAGAAGGTCTTATAATAATATTAGTCTTTTTCTTAATTTACTTCTTAAATATAGCTATTAGCTTAGATAATAGCTAGTCTATTAATCTTTTATCTTTCTTTTAGTATTTCTGCGGAATAGAGATATAGTATAATATAAAGGAGGGAAGAAAAATAATATTTATAGTAAGACTAAAATAAGAAATAGGTAGTAGATTTTTAAAGCTATATAAGATATTAGGATAAAAGAGTATAAGAGAAGTTAAGGAGGGTAGATAGAACTTCTTTATACTTTTTATTAGGGGGTCTATAGGGACCCTAACTTCTTAGATCTATACTCCCTATATCCTAGTTAATATATTATAAATAACTAGGTAAAGTAGCTAGGAAACTAGTATAAAGGATAAGGGGCTAAGGGTGAGTATTAGTATTAAAGAGGTAAGTGAATTACTATAGATAGGTAAAGGAATCACCTTAAAGATATAAGTGAATTACCTTTAAAGGTAAGTAGATCACCTAACTCACCTGGCTTACTCTTTTAAAGTAGTAATGACTGAAAGAGGAAAGGAAAGTGCCCTTATAGAATTTTGAATGATAGTATTGCCTATCTAAGTATGCCTTATTAATAAGAAGAAATAGCTGAAGAGCAGGGGTTAGGGTGATCATCAGCTATTAATAAGTAGAGGAAAGAAAGTAGAAATAAGAATTATTACTACAGTGAGAATCTATTAGCAATCATAACCATCTCTTAAAGAACTTTTAGGTTAATTATACTATTTAGGGATTTGGTACTTTTCTATTAAGTATATTAATATGGTTGGAGCAAGAGAAGAGATGCCAGGTGTCAATTCCAACACATAGCCCTGACGGTCGAGGTTCAACAGTCCAGTAGGGAAATCGAACTGATATTCTTGCCCCCAATTCTATTGCTCTGTATTCTGAATTTCTGAGTTTCAAAATCTTCTAGAGAAATCCTCAAACTGTGATTACCAAGTAAAACTCATAACTTAAATAAACCATGAAAACTATAACTAATAGTACTCACTAAACAGATTTAGTTTACGGGGGAGGGAAACTACAACCAGTGTGATTCTCTAGGCTAGGCACTGAACCCTCACCACTGAGAGTTCAGTGAGGGTTGAATTTGGTTAGTGGTTCGGTTATGCAACTCTACATAGGATAATTAGTAGTTGTATGAATAAGGGCTTATTATGAATAACGCATAAGAGGTCTTTGCAAGTACCCATTTGTGATGAGTGACTACCCACCAGCAAGAGTGGTTCAAGAGCAGGCATTAAGGACAGGTAGTAAGGTGATAGATAGTATGTCTCCTAGAAACAGATCCGGCACAGCTTGCATTTTTGGTTATCCCTGCTTTTAAAGCCAAAAGCACGTGGGAAACACGATCAGTAAAAATGATGACATACACCGGGACTTCAATGTGGTCGAGTGCTCAATTCATGTAGAATACATGTCATTCAAATATATGCATTAAGTCCATCTCTTCAGAGTAGACATTTAACCATTGCTTCCTCCTAGCTCAACTGCCACCGATATTCGCTCGATCGCGTTGTTCCAACATGTCACTGTCGAAGCCAGTTTACTGAAGTGTCGGACGCAAGAGAGAGGCAGGAAAGTCACCCAAAACACGAAAAGCAAAACAATAAAACCTTAGACGATGATGCTTCCTTGGATTGGATTCTCCTATATCAACTGTATTCATGAATCAAGTAATGATATAAACAGCCTGCTATAATACATCCTCAGACGGTATCCTTGGTCTACCAAATCTCGTAATATTCGTTATACACTCAATGCGGCCAGAGAGTCTCTGATTCTGGAGTCTCCCGTCGCTCGAAAGTAGGTAATTCACTCCAAAGGTACGCCGTTGTCTCGATCTTCAGCTGACTCTCGTTGCTCCGCCAGCATGTCGTCCCTGAGGCCTCTCAGGGCTTGGGTCAGTTCAGTCTTATCGGCGGATAATGGTACACCCCAGCGCTTGAACAGACTACCGTTCGCTTGCTTTAAAATAATGAGCAATATAAACAAAACAACATGCTAAGCAAGATTGAGTTAGTGATGATGTCGGATATTTCCCAGAGACGAAGGAGCTTACTGCTGCATACGCCGTAGCCACCTTGTTAAATGTGACTTTGCTAACCCACCAGGTGGCGCTCGAGAAGCAGAATATAACGATACATCCGATCAGACCCAGCCAGGCGGGAAAAGGCTGTATGGATTCAAAATTCATCTGGGAGCGAGTTCCTCGTAGAAATCCTGGTTCATGTTGACTCAGGCCTGAGCCGCATTTTTCTACCCTGTGGTTGTTAGTAGAGGGCCCGTTTGCGGAAGTTGAAAAAAGTCACTTGCCAATAGTAATAGCGCAAATAAGCTAGACACAGCGCCGCCCAGACAATCAAGCAGGATATGCTCGTGGAGATAGACATGATTTGAATGACCTGGAGATGTGTCAGATACCCTCAGCTAGACGGGAAGATGGAGTGCAGCACACCTCAGTTTGGGAAGGGTGTAGGAATGGAACCCAATAAAAAGCCACCCATGAGAAGAGCAACGCAGCAGCAGGGACACGCGTTTTCTTGGTGAGACCACCTAGGCATTCGATCCTTTCCTTTAACCACCATTTACCTGGCAGAGAGCTCACGATGCCGTACAGTGTGCGCGAGCTAGCATAGAGGGATGTGTTCGCAGCGGAAAGCCCGCTCAGGATCAAACAACCGTTGATAACGCCGGCTAGCGTTTTATGTCCTGCGTTCCAGGCCGCGATGACAGGTAGGCTGGTCGAAGCTGGGGGTTGCTTGTCGATTGTGCGGGGACTGACCTGCTGTGCGCCAGGGATCGGCGATAGATGATCCGTCCATTTCACCGTTAGGACTTCCCCAAGTGTGCACATGATATAAACGAGGACGACGACATAGACTGTCCAGCGGGCTGGCCACCGCAGGGCACGATCATCTCGAGCCTCGAAGGCAGTCATGGAGACCAGCTCGATGCCTTGGAAACTGTATGCGACGAGTGGGATTGCGTAACTGAATTCGTCTCAGCTATGGTAACCGGAGCTTGTTAATGGCTTTTCTCTTACCAGACGGCCTGTGCATGGGTTAGAAACATAGGTGGTTTGTTCTGGAATCCATCGGATATTGCTAGATCACGGTTAGGATGATGAACAAAAGGGAGAAATAGTACTCACATCCATCGCTGCCTCCGAGATGCTCTGATTCCAAGTTAGTCAACCGATCTCCGATCTATACAACCCGATGAAGAATGACTAACCTTGGCCGGACAAGACATACAAGTAGATTGATACGCCAAGGATAAAGCACAGCTTCAATACTCCCCCTACAGTCTCAACGATGCCATAGTACTGGAGAGAGTCGTATCAGCCTATGCTGAGACTTCAAAGCGGACAACTTACAAAAACGCCCGTCATATTCAGCCAAAAGAACAGCACAGGAGCGAGAAAATAAAATGCCAGTATTTGCCAAGTCGGACTTAAGCCCCAGTACGTCGCCAGTTCGGCTGCAGCGGCATTCTGCACTGCGAAGGAAGCTGCATACGCATACCAGTAGGCGAGGCCTACCACCCAGCCAAAGTCAGGGTCCACAAACGTGCCTACATATCTGACGATCGCATTGGAGACGGGGAATTCTTGGGTTAGTTCACCGATAGATTCGCTTACAGCAATGGCGATCAGACTCATGATCAGGACGGACAGGAGGAGACCCCAGGGACCAGCAATCGCCATAGCTGCGCCATTATTGCTGAAGACTCCGATTCCAATCACGGCGCTGAGAACAATGAACTGTTGATGATCACAGAGCGATGCGCGGCGGTCAGCAGATTGACCACGTCAATGTTGGGCGAGGATCTGCCTTACGAAGATTTGATAGCCGTGGAGGGTTTGTCTAAGAGGTCAGATCGGAAAATTTGTCATCTGGCAGACAGGAGAGGAAAACGCCTACTTGAGCTTCATTTGTTGTGTGTGACCACTCATTGTGAGATCAAAGGTGCGTTTTGTCAACGTATGCAAGGAGACATGAAGTTATCGACCTCGTGGGACTGAACAATCTAGTTATGTTCGTTGAACTGAAGATGACAGGGCGAATTAGGCAAAAGGCCCTGCTGATTAGGAAGTCCCCTTTTCATTAGTCTTATCTATGGCGAATTGGGAGGGAATATTATGGCCGAACAATCCCATCGACCAGGGTTGTTTGCAGCACAGGCTTGCGGCTGAGAATTCCCAGCCTAATGGACTTGAAAATTGGACATATAGTATTCGACTAGTGTATTTGGCTGTGCGAACTGCATGAATGCATCACTTCAGGGAGGAAGTCGACCAATTATGCAGTGGTTGTTGTTTGCCATCATCATGTGCTGGATTCAGCCCAGTCTGCGATACTCCATATAAGTGGGGACTATGAGACTCGGCGTCTAGCACTCCTCACAATTGAGCTGATCGAGTCGACTCTTCTTGCTTTGATAATATACAGAATTCTTTATATGATGTCGGTTATCGAGAAGACATATACTCTGCCACCAGCACCAACTGGTTACGTGGAGCGCGGCACCGACATCGAAGACTACATCAGGGAGCACTATGGGCCAGCCTTTCCCGTCAGTGTTACAGTGAGTCACCCGAGCATGGCTTTGATTTCTGCCGCTTTACTATAATAATGACAATTGATTCAGCTGAGCCAAGACCGTTGGAAAATCACCACAGACATCGACCTGAGCCAAGTAAGTAATGTCCTTATTATGATCTGTAAATATACAAAGAACAAGCTGAGTGGGAAGTGGAAACAGGTAGACTTGCGGTAGGCATCTATTCAAGCTTTTCAAGCATTTCCCAAGGCACATAAAATTAAGGAGTGACCCATGGACAGGGACTTGACGAGAAAAATCATAGCATACGCCCGAGCGAGGAGAGCGTCAGCTGAACACCTTCAGGATGCTTGATTTGAGTTGGACGGGCTGACGATGGCTGGCTGCCTCACTTGCCCTGTTGCCCAGTTGCCTGCCAACAAAGCAGTGCCGCCGCCAGCTGTCGCAGGATGAGACAATCCTCGTATTTAAGCTTTCACAAGTCACGACTGCAATTTGAGATTGGTTAGCCGACGAGTTCTCCTGTCCAGTGTCTATCACATCGTCCACGTAAGAGGCAGGTAAAATAACGAGATCCTGTCGTTTTGCCCTTCTTGCTGGAAACCCGGTTCAGCTAGCTCAGCTAAGACTTCAAGCGATCTGAGATCTCACAGCTAGTCGGGGCCACCCGGGATCCCTGACGATCAAGTCCGGAGGAGCGGCCACTTGCCTGAAATAGGATGGTTCTCGGTATTATTGGCTTGTACTATCCATTTCCGTCATCCCAAGAGCGGCAAATGCCGAGACAAAACAGGTGTATATCAAGCAAAGTCCCTGTCTTCTAGTCTAGGGACGCCGTCGAGCCATTAACACAACAATGGCTACAGGATCATGGGCTGAGTACTTTGCATCCTTGACCCAGAATCAAAGGAAGAATGAAAATGTGCGAGACATGATGAAGCGGTTACGAGACCGGTCGAAAAGCGTCTTTGTCAGTGATGATGCTATGTCTGTTCGAATAACAGATGTCTATCAGGATGGTAAGCAGGTCGCAGATTTTATGACACGTGAGCGAGTAGTAAATCCAAGTCGCCAGGAGAGTGGGCACAAACCACATTGTACAAGAAGTCTGAAGAGATCACTCTTGTTTTAGAGAATGATATCCCGGTCAAGTCGGATACCAGGATAATGTGAGTAATTTCTGCATTTAGTATGATTGAGGAACTGTCTGATTCCGATAAATGCACTAGATCAATATACTCGGAGAACTCGATCATGCCTTTGATGATCAGCGAGGATCTAATGGGAATCGTCATGTTGAAACACAATGTTCATCCCAGTTTTCTATCTGTTATTCTCTCATTCGGGGAAGACATGCATATCTCAGAGGCTGGAAGCACCCATGCAATGGTTTCGCACATGGATGCAGATGCATCCTTTTGTCAGTCGCCCTCATACGCGATCTCGGTGTCATAGTTTGAACATCTACTGATAGAGGACAGATGTCTCCTACCAACTGCATTATGTCGAGGAAAACCACCGGGAAGGACCTAATCCCTGGTCGTTTCGGCGCACCGGTATCTACCATCATCACACGCCTAAAAGGGACGTAGTTATCTTGCTCCACCCTAACGAAACCAGCGTGCTTGATGTTCGATTGTTAGAGCTGCTTGGTCTCAAACCATCAATCAACTCACGATCGTCAGACCAAAGCAACCATTCTGTCGATTCCCTCTTGCGAAACCCAGCATCTCTCCACTCGTTGGTCATGTCCACGTTCTCTGGGAATTGGCGATGGTTTCTCCGACACCTTGGTCATAGATTCGAACCTTATGTATGTAATTCAGCCAAAGGATCCCATACCTGTTATTCATTGGAAGTCCACATATTGAAATCAATATAGAACGATCAGGCATTCGGGATGACACCGGAGAAGTTGACCCCTCAAGAGAGCTTTAATCATCTCGTCACCCTCCGCAACCTGAATGATTGGGTCAACAAGGCACGGGCGTCCTGTGAAGGTACCCTTGATCTTGTTTTGCGATTGAAGGATAGTTTTCACGAATGCAATGAGCACGAACCCAGGATAAGGTCATATATTCAAAGCTGCGATGGATTGACCCCCAGGATCAGGAACACTACCGATCTGGTAAATCCACCCTGGAAGCGTCGCACAACTACAACTACTGACTGCCTAGCTTGGATTTACCCTCAACCTGCACAACCAACTCGAAACAGCAAAGATTGATCGGGAATTACGCGATATAACCGAGCAACTCCAGCTCGTTACGAGCGAGCTGAAAGACCTCCAGCGAGATAACATTGACGATAGTGCAGCAGTCAAGATAATAACGTTTATTTCGGCTATTTATCTGCCCGGTTCATTTATAGTCGTACGTCTCCCACTGCCCTTGAACGCGCTGAGCGTTGTGACTGACACAGGGATAGGGCCTTTATGGCATGAACTTCTTTGTTTTTGATTCGGGCAAACAACAAATTGTAATTGCTCAGGACTTTTGGGTCTTCCTAGCCACATGGCTACCCATGACAGTCATCACGTGGCTCATGTATATTTGTATCATGTATCTTGATGCTTGGTGGAAACGGAGGCCGTTTTACTTGTTCAGGAGACGGCCAGGTCCTCCGGGGACCAGGAATTGACCAGGACGTGGATGTGAAAAGGTACTGGTAGAAAGAACAGATCACTTGCTTCAAATGCAGTGTTTCAAGGTTAGGTGTAGAGTGAGGGTCATTTAGACTCTACGCTTTCAGGGCGCAGCAAAGGTAGGGACTTGGAAATTATTATTATTATTATTAAATATGGATAGTTTTCATGACATAATTGACTCATACAAATTATAGTATCTACCTACACTCTGTTTGGTCCGCTCTTGATGTATCTGATTCCTCTTGGTATGTGTAAGATAGGACACAGCACTCCCTCTGAAAGTGGCGGCTATGAGCGTGGCTGCGCAGTTGTCAATAATATGATTATTATAATAATTATTATTTATGATTAATGCAGCTATTCCTCACGCGGCACTTAGGAGACATGGGCGCGCAGGGCAATTTCAGCCTTACAGCCTAGATATCACGGAAGCTGGATGCCTTGTCTCTATTTTGCCCATTTGGCACCCCAGAAGCAATCCTGAATGTACTGGTCTTATTCGACCTGTTCTATCACCAGCGAATCGAGATACCTTTGGAGGCTGAATCCTCCATGCGCCGCGCTCCTTTTTGTCCTTGCCAGTCACGCGGGGTGACCAACTAGGTCACGGCCTATGTACGTCCCTTTGGACATGTTCTACCTTTTACATCTCTCCCAGGGTCAAGCCTTGTTGCGTTCTGCGCAGTCCTTGAAAACAGATCAAGCAAATCCTTTCGCTTCCGCTTATCACCGTCCCATATGTGATGCCCGATGAACGTCGCGATTTTATTTTGCCAACTACCACACATTCTGAATGATCGGAGTTGATATCGCTATAGACAATGTTGATCAACAATGCCCGAGCAGGAATCTCAGAGGACCTCTATTTTTCAGCGTACGACGGCAGAAATAATCCACGATCTCAACTCTATCACCAAGTGTCCCGAAGACTTAAATCGTTGTTTCATCTGCAAACATGATCTCGAGAAGCTATGGCAGGACAAGGAACGTATTCGAAGGCTCTTACCGGATTCGACAAAAGCCGCTGTCATAGCTCTAGTGCAGAGGGAGATGTTCGTGATTCTGTCAGTACTTGTCCTGATTGGAGCAATATGGCAGGATTCGGATATCTTGAAGAAATTGCTCAAGGACGACGACACACCCCGCTACAAAGATGATGACATCCCCTTATCGCTAGACCGGATCGCCGAGTTCCTCGACCCTCCACACGATGGCCTGTTCCACGAGAAGCAATTCCGTTTCTGTCCGTTTATAGTCGATTGCCACCAGACTCAACAAGTGCACGATGTGCCCCAAAACTGGCGTCTGCCTTTTGATAAGGAAGAGGAGCTTGGATTAGGGTCGTTTGGTCAAGTCGACCTTGTAAAAATAGCGCCGCGATGCTTCAAGGAAGTCGGGGGAGCTGAGTATCCCGAGGTAAGAACTTTTCTTCAGTCTGAGCCAAGAAGGTTGGTTGATACATGAGGTCTAAAGCACTGCAGTACCATCTTGTAGCTTGCAAGAAGTTTCACGTGCCGCGAAAGTCCCGCTCCGAATTGAAGAATCTGCAGATCCTTAAGGAGAGCTTGACAAGGCAGGACCGTATTATGCAACATCTTGCGACATTGCGCCACGGCGACGATTTCTACATCCTTTTCCCGTACGCGGAGCACCGTGACCTCTCTCTGTTTCTCCATGCCGGGTTCTCCGCCAACAAGGAGAAGATATACGATTTTGAGGAAGAATTCCCAGGTCTAGATCTTGTGAGCGCCGATCCTGCCGAGGTGTCCAAGCTGCTTCTTCGGCAATGCTGGGCTCTGTCGAACGCGATCAAATGGCTTCACAGTGGCATTGCCATCGAATCCACCGCCAATGAGGTGTACTGTGCACACATGGACCTCAAACCCGAGAACATCTTAATTAGGCACGATAGAAACTCCAAAGTCGGCAAATGGATGATCTCTGATTTCGGGATCTCGATGACCCCTGAACAAGAACAAAAAAATACCAACTTTCTCACGGTCGGAGACTGGTATGACCATTTGACAGACCGTTCACGTCTGACAGGTAGTTCCCGCCCCGGGCGGGCGGAAGGGTCATACCAAGCACCTGAAGCCACATCCAAAAGAGGAGACGAAGTTGCACGCGAGGGCGACATCTGGTCTTTCGGCTGCATCTTCACTGAGGTCCTGGCCTGGGCCATTGGTAGGGACGCGGCTGTTAATGACTTGGTCGGTCTTCGCTCTCGGGAGGGAGGCAATGATTGTTTCTTTGATAACGATCATAGGGGCTCGGGGCGCAAACCAGCAACCTTTTGCGTGAAAGGTTCAGTGAACCGGTGGCTTGACGACAAAATTGAGACTGGAGCCCAGCAAAACATTGTGGTGCCCTGCTGGGCAAGGGCCATCACACTGATCATGATTGTGGACCCGAAACAAAGACCAGACGCTTCAACACTAGAGTTTCTGATCAAAAATGTGAAGGATCATAGTGAGAACCCCCAAAATCATAGTGACAATGATTGCCCCGAACCTCGCAATCCAAGTTCCCTAAGATCCTCATCATCACCATCTTTGCAAGCATCAACTCCTTCAACACCGTCGCTCCAGACCCCTCCGGCATCCCCACCATCGCTATCTCCCACAGAGTCGACCCGAGATCCTATCTCAGCTCCAGTGGGACATTCAGAGCGCCACGAGCTTATCGGAGGGAAAGGGATTGCTGTTGCGGTGTCACAAGCTGAGAAGAATGGTAAAACACTTGCGGCATACCTGAGTAAGAAGGATCTGCACATATTTGAACTGGATGTCAGGACTTTTGAGTGCAAACCCAAGCATGATTATCCAATCTCTCTCAGATCAAGAGAATTGAAATTGGAGAATACAGGTGTCGCGATTAATGGATCCCACATTGCTTTCTGGGGATACTCTGCGCCCCAAGGCAGAAAACTGGTATGGGAGCAGCCCATCGCCCATTCAATTGAAGCACTGACAATCTAGATGTTTCTTCGAACGTTGACCGATGCGCAACTGCATCTTTCAGACCCTGAGTATGATAATAATCTCCTCAGCGTTGCAGTATCAACGGACGGCGTCTTCGCACTTGTTCATGCACATGACATTGTCCTGCGACAGAGAGGGTAGGTGAATTTCGTGAATTTTACAATGATGCATGACACGAAGTAACCATGACAATACTTGCAGTGCAAATCCCATCAAACTCACCTTGCCGCAAGGAATTATCCAAGCATTTACACACGCCACCTTCAACGACAACGGCACGCTTTTATTTGCTTGGGCTTGGGGGAGAACGAGCGAATCGGTCTACGCATGGTGGACAAACCCGGAAGATTCCTCAAGCGAGCCTCATTTTGCCAATCATTACCTGGTAGGTGGAATGGCCATCAATTGCGCAAGGAGCTTAGGCTGATTGGGTGAAGAAGCAGAGGAGCGGAGGTAAACCGCCCCAGATTAGCATCATCCCGTATAACAGCGAGAATAAGTGTATCATCGCCAACCTTGACGACCGAAAATGGACTGCAACTGCGGTTTCTGTGAGCGAGAATCCCTCAGTGGCCCCTGCTCACCTCCTTGGCAGTGAACGACTTAGGAATCTCGTCAGCGGTTGCGTCTTCCAAGACCGGTATTTTGTCGGTCTTTGGTCCAACATGTTGCAACGTGACGAGATAGTAAGGTTTCAGATCGTCGATGATAGTACATCCGGTCTTCGGCTAGACAATCGAGAATTCCTATTTGATGTCAGTACATCCTGTTCGTCATCGTCCCGGATCCGCGTCTTCAGACCTGATCTTAATGATGGCGCCACTGTGATTATCTGCCATGAGAGTGGCAAAATAGAATTTGTCAAGGTCTCAGTGCCTGCATGATTATAGGGAAAGGTTCTTACCCACTGAGCCTCACGTGTGCATCCATCTTTCTGTTTACCCCTTTGTTCTCTTTCTTACATTTTTCTGCCATGGTACACTCATCAATGCACTGATACCCCTTCATTTGTCGCTGCAGGGGTAGCCATCTATGTGATACTATCAGAATGAATTGCTAATCCTGCCTGTTTTCTCCTTTTTTCCTACTGTCGTTTAGGTAAAGCATGCTGGTTTGCATAACTGAGAGGGATTATACAATATCTCGCGATGCTGTGATGTGCTTCTATTGTCCCATTTTACTCAAGGCTTTCGTCAGAGGTGGTTTGTGGACCAGTGGAGTGAGCCAGCAGAATCAAGATCTGAAGATGCTATCAATGGGCACAGGAATGCTGATGTGATCTAGTCCTCAATTCATGTAGAATTCATGTCAATCAAGTATATACATCAGGTCCATCTCTTCAGAATAGATATTTCACCATGTTTCCTCCTAGTTTAAGTGTGACTGGTATTTCCTCGATCACACTGTTTTCGCCTACAATGCCACATTATGGAGAATAAAAGCCTCTTTCCTTTGTTCTCAGATTAGCCTTCCTGCCCTGGACACAACCAACAACTTTCATTGCCGGCCTTCTTCTGTGAGTCTATAAAGAATGGAGTGGTCAGAGGAGGCTATCATTGCACTTATTACTCTACTCATATCTAGGCCTCCATCCTTTCTTCTACTATGGAACTATTTTAAAGACCATAATAAAGGGTCAATACTTTTAGCAGGTTAGTGTTACCCATTACCTACTATAAGAAGTGAATAGAAGGAAAGAAAGGCTAACCTTAACCCTTGTCTATATCAACCACAATCTCAAGTTATTCTCCCATGCGCCTTGACGCAATGATACTGAGCAGAACCAGCAAATCCTCGAGCATGGCCTTAGTGCCTACTGTGTTCCAGCAGGTCAGTGCCTGTGATCTTATGAGAGCTGGATTAAGCAGTTCTCACGGCTAACAGATTCTTCAGTTAATCGAGCTGCACAGAGATATTAATCTTTCAAAGAGCCGTTGCAGAGATCCACGTGTCGTATACATCAGCTGATGACTGGTTACCTTGTTGAAGCGCCTCGGAAAGGCCGTAACTCGGCTGGTTGAACGGGGACGGGAGAATGCACATAGCGGAATAGACAGAGTTGCGATTGATAATGTTCCTTTCCAAAAAGCTCATCGGGTATCAAGAGCGTGTATAAGCCCTTAGCCAATTTGCAATACCTGGGTGACATTCTCTTTCCGCGATAGATGCAGCGTTGCTACAGACAACTGGTAGGTCTGCTCGATCTCCGTAAGCATTCAAAAGCAACTGTAACATCTCCAGGTGACCATGCTCGGCCGCTCCATCGATTGCTGCTCTGCCAGAGATGGGCGATGGTGCGGCAGCAACATCAGCTCTATTTTCCAAAAGTCTCAAGGCAAGACGATTATATCCATGAATAGCAGCTGGATTGGGTCGGTTGGGTATGGATTTGCAGATTGGGTAAACCAGTCTAGTCATGGGGCGAGGCTCACTAATATATATAATTTTGTCAAAGGGTTCGCTTTCCGTTCGGCAAACCCTTGGCTGCATATTGCAATTGTCTGATCAATTCCCCTTGGACTTTGTGTCTTCGAAAAGGGAATGAGTCAATGACTGTGTTGAGAAGGTGTACTTTTAGTCTCTCTTTACTGTCCGCAATTTCGCCCTCGTCTGAGGCAGATTCAGTACCAAACATGCCCTTGGTCCATGACGTTCTCAATGCTGTGACGAAATTTTGCAACCTTGCGGTCGCTCCACAAAGTAGCATTGACCATATCCTGCATAGGCTCACATCTTCTCTGGATATACATGAAGTATACATGACCCTGAGCGAAGGATGATGTTATGATTCTTCGAATAGCTAGCTGCCCACTGTTCTATCTGGGTTAAGTGTTAATTCTATATGGTGAATGCTGTTCCAAATTCAACATAGGTTTTCCTATTTCCTATCTTTCATTTCTGGTTAAGCATTCACATCAACGCCCATGCCTATTTTGTTTCTTGGAAAGGGAGAGAGAGAGAGAGAGAGAGTGTGTGTGTATGTGCGTGGAAAAGAAACTATTTTTATACTATTGAAAGAATGATATATAGACTGACATCTAATGTGCTTAAAGGCAGATTTGCCCGTCGGTCATACAAGAAATAAAATAAAAGACTCGTCACATACACTCAACCTTTTATACAAAAGCCCAGGGTTTGCCACGTGGGTTTACTTGCGACCGTAGCCATTGGAACCCTTGGTAGCGTGCTTGGTAACGGAGAAGCTGTAGGAGGGTGCCTGGTCATTCTTGACACTGTAGTAGTCGGCACCGTTCAGCAGCATGTCACGAGCGTAGTACTCGAAGTTCAGGGAGTTGTAGCTGATGTCGAGAGTGACGAAACCGTTGGCGGCCTGCTTGGCGTCGGCACCGAGCCACTTGGCGTAGGGGCCGAGGGGAACGCCGTAGTTGCAGTCGCCGGCCTCGGCATAACCAGCGCCACCAGTGAGAACAAAATCCATACCCTGGTAGTGGTAGTGGGCCATGCAGTGATCGTGGCCGTTGACGACGACGCCGTTGTTCTCGCGGACGACGTCAATCAAGGGAGCCAGCTCGGTGTAGTTGCTCGAGGAGGAGACGTAGCCATGGTGGATCTGCAGGATCTTCCAGGTGGCGTCGGACTCGGCGAAGGACTTACGCAGGAAGTCCACCTGCTTCTGGGTCTCCTTGTGGCAGGAGATAACGTAGTCGGTGTTGTAGACGGAGGTGGCTTCCTGGTAGGCGTTGATGAAGCAGTCGGAGTCCACCACGACGAAGGTCGCGGTCCAGTTCGAGCCGGTCAGGTCGTAGGTGTAGTAGGGCAGGTTGTCGTTACCAAAGTACCACCGGTCCTCCATCAACGGAGCAATGCGTGTCTGGAAGTCGACACCGGCCCTGCCAGCAACGACGTCGTGGTTGCCCAGCGCCTGGTACCATGGCTTGCCGTTGAAGGCCTCACCGGCGTACATATTGGCCCAGCCCTCGTAGAAGCGCTGGATACCCTCCGGGGTGAAGTCGACACCGCTGTCATAGAAGTTGTCGCCGACAGAGATGAAGGCCGAGCAGTTCTTCCGGAGACAGACATTCTCGATATAGCGAGCAGTGCTTCCTGTAGATAAGGTGTCAGCGCATGAACCCTCCACTCCTGTGACCTCTCCCTTTTGAGGGGGACAATACAAGGGTCAAGACTTACCCTCTTCGATGGTGGCATTGGCGATGGCCTGACGGTCACCGGGGTCGCAGTCGTTCTGGATCTCGCGAGGGATCTGCACGCCGTCCGCCTTCAGCTTAGGCAAGACATTGTTGCAGAAGTCCAGGGGCAGGGGCTGCCAGCCCGTCCAGCCATAGTCTTATGGAATGTCAGTCTTTTTTCGACGATTGTTTATGATTCACGGAGAATGAACACCTACCACCGAGGAGGGCGACGGTGAGGGTCTCGGCACCGGTAGGCGCAACGATGGAGTTCTTGGCAGCAGAGGCACCCAAGGCCAGGCCCAGAGTCAGGGCAACACGAGACATGGTGGACATGTTGGAGACGGGAAAGGATAGACTGTTGCGTGCTTCGTCTCTGCTGATCTCTTCGGCTGCTCGACCTTATATAAGGAACCGGGGACAGGCTGGCACCTTGACAGGCTTCGAGAATGCAGCCATGACACTGCGGGCCCAGGGGACCATCGGGTTCCTGGTTCCTGTAATTGATGGAGGATACGGCAAAAGCTTGTTTTGCCTCCGTGTGAAGCTTCGCTCTTGAAGGAGCTAATGAGATGTCGACATGCAGCCTCGTGTCTGGACAGTTCTGAGGCCACCGGTCTTTCTGGGAGGTGCTCGGACGACACAATCTCGGCAAGCGACATCAGTGGGTGAAAAACTTGCTTGGACTTGGGACTTGAGCTCTTTGAAATGTGGGTTTGGTTGCTTTTGCTCTCAGAGACCAATGGAGCTTGGCATCGTTTACCACGTGCGTCGAAAAACATTTCCATTTGGCAACGATTCACCGCGCGGGAAGCTCGGTAAACGGGAGGCGATTCATCGGCGAACTGCTTTTACCCCCCTTAGCGTAACAGCACACTCCCTTGCTAAAAGTAGTTAGAATCAATGTCATGTGGCAATCTAAGCTCCGTAATAGGCCGCGGCTTCCTAGAGAGTGAGAGGCCGTTGTCTAGGCTGCAAGGTACTAGACTAGTATGACTACAGTGTTTTGAAGAGGAATAAGCTTGACTGCATCATTCTCCTATTACTAAGAGCGTTCGGAAGACGGAAATACTATATTCCAAGCAAGGGAAGCTTGCCAGTGGCTTACCACGTGACAATTGCGGAGATTGGTGGTGGTGGTCACATGATGTTCATTCTAACTACTTTCAGTAAGAAGGAGTGGGCCATTAAGCTAAGTCCTTATTATTAGTAGAGACCTTCCCTTCTTGGCCACCTTCCATTTGATCTACATAGTTAAGTTATTATGTACAGAGCAACGATCATTGCAGTGTAGTGGATGGTAGAGAGAGGACTAACCGATCATTGACGAGAAGTTTGAGGACCCAGTAGAATTTTCTAGATGTTGCATGATGTAGTTGATTGGTAGAACAGGCATCTATAAGCTGGAGTTCTAAGAGTCGGAATTCATTACGCAAAGTGGAAGTAGCATGCTACTTAGTAGGGTTGTTACTGCCTCTTGTATCTCTTGTGCCGTAATTGGTGGGAATTCGATCGGTTGTGGGTAGTTAAAAGAGACTCTGTCAGAGAGATCTGCTAGCGGTGGTTGCTGGAAAAAGGTTACCCGGAAGGCTTCTGCTTTCTGATCGCGGTCTCTGCGAGCTCTCTTTGTGTTTGGGGATCTTGGATCTTCAATGAGGGGGTGAGACCTTTCTCGTACGCCCCATTCCATTCCTTGTCCATTCAGGGAGCCGTCACATATCCCGAGGGCATCCTCGATGACCTGCTGAACTCGGCGCTGGTGCGCCCTGGATAGTGCTTTTTTGACAAGACGCGTCGGCTTCTTCCGTGCCTCAGAGTATCGCATCCGGTCGTCAGGATCCTTTGTCCTCGTGTGCCTGCGTCGCACAGGACGGACTGCCTTGTCTGCGGCCTTGCTTTCGTCGTCGAAGCCGGGGTTCGACCATATCGACCGGTTCGCCCACGGTGTTGACGATTCAATTGCTGATTTGATAACGCGTCTTTCGGCGCAAGTCGGATGTGGAGAAGAAGCAGATAGGCGACAGGCGGTTGTTAGAAGGTCTGTCAACGATCAAAGGGCCTCATAACCTCTTGGAAAGAAAGGAGAGAAAGCAACAGATAGTTGATTGAACTAAGGCAACGAGAAAGAGAGAAGGGCCTATCTAGGTGAGTTATGGGGAGCCTCACGCAGAGGCCTCATGCCAACACCGCAAACAGTTGAACAGTTCCTTCCCTTCAAGAGTTCTTTCCAGGTAATTCAACTTGAGATGTTTCCTGCTCGCGATCGCATCGTCGATTATCGTCGCGAAATGTTTTCTTTCTTTCTTACCTTGCCCTCCTCGCTTTCACATCGAACTACTGTCTTCCAAGTCCTTTCATCATCCGAAGTCTTTATTCTTTTGCCTACATCACTAGGTTCTCATAGGTACAGTAAACATCCTTCTCAGGGAAAGGACATCAAGTCCTCCCTTCCCCCGGCTACCTCGGAGGCCATCTTGGACATCCTAAGGACTGACTGAGATTGGCACAGATTTTCCGAGTGGTTTCATTATGATCATGACTCCTGTAACTGTCATTCTTGGGCTCGCAATAGCGATTGCGGTCAAGGTCACAGCTATCGATATCGACACCAGTGGATTCCTGAGTCCTCGGCTTTCGTATAGTGTCGGAGGCCATGCAGTGTGTGTCAATGGCATTGTTCCTGTCCATGTGTCCGGTGCATCCAACGTTCAGCTTAATTTACCATCGTCCACAAATCGAACACAGGCCACGCAACTCCTCCTGGACTTGTTTACTGTCAACTCGACGATCGTTGCTCAAGTAAGCGGACCTGAAAGACAGATCTCGCAAAATTTCAACATCAGCAGCAGACTATGCTACCCGAGACGAAATGCAACTGGTCACGAATACTCTACGGTCCAGTTCCTGACTCACGGCATTGGATTCGGACAGAATTATTGGGATTTTGCCGCTCCGTCCAATAGCTACATTGACTCTGCTGCTCAGGCTGGACAAGTCACCTTCTCCTATGATCGTTTGGGAGTAGGAGAATCGTCCCATCCTGACCCAATCCAGATCGTCCAAGGGCCTGCTCAAGTCTCCATCGCACACGCTCTAGTCGGTCTCCTTCGGAATGGCGAGCTGTCGGATACAAACTTTTCCCATGTTATTGGGGTCGGGCACTCGTATGGCTCTGCCATTACGACGACTGTTGCAGCCACATACCCGTCTGATTTTGATGCTCTTGTTCTGACTGGCTTCGGGGACAATGCCACTGGTGCACCACAGTTTTGGGCTGCTCAAAATCTCATCCCAGCGTCCACGGACCTGTCGCAGAGATTCGTTGGCCTTGAAGATGGATATCTTGTCGCCTCCACCATCTATGGTGTACAATATGCCTTCTTCCACTTTCCAGGGTTTGAGATCCCCATTCTGTATCTGGCCTTCGCAAATAGACAAACAACAACGTGGGGAGAGCAATTCACCATGGGAACGCTGGAACACCCAGCCGAATCTTACACGGGCCCGGTATTTGTGGTGAACGGGCAGCAGGATCTTGTCTTCTGTCAGGGGAACTGTAACTTTCCCAGCAACGTTGCTCTGCGCACCTTGAGGAATGTCTTTCCTGCTGCAGATGCAACGAGGTCCGGCGCATTTCTCTTGCCAAACAGTGGACATGGACTCAACCTGCACACTAATGCCCCGTTGGCGTTTGAAAGGATTCAGGGTTTTATCTTAGATTTGGACTTGGACTGAACGGCAGACCGAACTGCCTGGGTCTGAGGCCTCTGTATCCTGTAACTCTTCCCTCGAACCTGACGTACTGACTTATCGGGCCGCGGTCCCTTTTTATTATCGTTCGGTTTTATTATCGTCACCTTTTATCCATTCCTTTCCTCATTGATAGACCCTAGCTGATCAATCAAAGTCATCCAACCTTTCATTAAGTTCTTTAAAACAGCCATTGTCGCTCGTAGAAACCCGAAATGGTTCAACGCGACTTACGGTATACCCTAGGGATATCCCCAATTGAGAGTACCTGAGTTTATCGAGTACATATGACTTCTAAATTAGAGTTATACAGACACAGTTATCGATATTCATGCAAACAACCGGTCGTTTGTTCTCTGTTGACCTCTCTTTCACCCGCTCAATATAAACAAATGTCCTTCCAAGCTTCAACCTGTTGAAAAGCATATGCCCATACCCAATGCACGGGGGTCACGTACACCGAGTGGGTGGAATCTCTCTCACTGAGGACAAATGATCCTCTATACCCTCTTGTTCCGATGCTGAAGGAGAAAGTTCTGGGTGAGCGGACGCGATGGGAGGTGTATGAAGATATGGTGGAGTATGGCCGTGAGAATCTGCATAATGCATTAAAGGGCGCTCCGGAGATCTTGGCCTGTGATCCTGTGACTCAGCTTTTTGGCCGATACCTCCGTAGCTGGCTACCAATATCCTGTCCAAACTAGAGATAGCGCGTGAGCCGTTTACAGCGATGATGCAAGACACGGTTACTAGTCCTTTATAAGAGAATGTGGATCTCTCTATTATTTTAATGCCACCTGGCTCCACCTATAATGATGTTGCAGGGCACTGCGAGAAGGCTGGTACCGGCTGCCAATCTGGCCAATACTGGAATGGTGCTGAATGTATTGTCGAAGTGGTGACCCAGAGATGTGCCCCTGGATTTACCTACAATGAGGATACTACTCCTTGGGAGCAAGCTCGGACGACACTGGGAAAGGAAGTCGGGAAGAGGCGTTTTCCCTGCCAGGGGTGTACAGGGATCGGTATATGAAGTGGTCTGACGGTTCAGTGTGGAAAGGAGAAGAATAAGGGTCATTTCCTCAGCTAAAGGGTAGGAGGAACCATCAAAAATTGAGTAGCCAACCGGAAACCATCGAAATTCCCCTAAGATGATCCCCCGGAGCTGTGATAAAGCTTGATAATCCTGTGGACACCGTTGTTAGTACCTAACCACCCGCGTTATGAATGTGCAATCAAAATGCAACCTACCTTGACAAACCCTCCTTCAGGCTCTCCTCCTCCAGCGAGAAGATGACTCGGAACCAGCCTGGAACCTCATTATGATAGGCATATCCCGTCGACATCTCCACCCCAAGCTCTTGCAGCCGGCGGGACAGATCCAACTCTGCAGCCCAACCGCCTCGACTAGCGACAATCGCCTTATCCAAGCACTTGGACAAGTCAACCCAGAGGAAAAAGCCCGCAATACTTCAGACATTAGTTCATAAAATTTCCGTCTTCTGAACCTGCAACAGGGGCGCTGGAGAAGACCTACCCGCCTTGCGCATAAGGAATCCCCGCCTCCTCCAAGGCTCGTGCCGCCAAATCCCGCTGTGAACGAAGCAATCGGCGGCTTTTCTCAAGAAAGGTATCCACAAAGTCTCGATCCTCGAGAACGGCAGTGGCAACCCTGCAGGATATATTCGAAGGCCAATGGAATCGACTAGAACGCAAAGTAAGACCGTTTCCATATAACGAGAATGAATAGTCAGTCCAAGTGTGTCCACTTACCTCATCGACAGAACCGCCTGTAAAAACCTCTGATTGCGGCTGATCAAACATCCCAGCCGCAACCCCGACGCCGCGAAATCCTTCGACATCCCGTACAGCACATTGATCAAGGACGGATCCACCCCGAGCGGGGCTGGGTCAATCGACAGAACAGAAACAAAGCCATCGGAGGAATCATCTTCTCCGTACACCGACAGCGCGTACACCTCGTCGCTGATGATATGGATCTGGTACTTCTGGCAGAACCGCAGTAGCGCCTCCAAGGTCTCGCGCGGGTAGCATCGGCCGAGCGGATTGTGCGGGTTGCAGATCAGGAGGGCCCGGATTGTTACCCCTTTCTCTCGTGCTTGCAGGAAGGTCTCCTCGTACCGAGCTACGGCATCGGGGCTGAATGGGTCGTTCCCGTGGAAGGGGGTGTAGATCAGTTGGCAGCTGGAGGGGACGCGGAGATCTCCGTTGAAGGAGCCGTAGATGGGTTGACCCAGGAGAATCCCGTCGCCGGGGTCGGTTAGACTGAGAGCACAAATCGCGTTTAGGCTCGTCACGCCATTCGTGAAAACGAGATGATCAGGTGAGATCGGGGCGGCGGGGTGAAAGTATGTAGTAATGTGATTCGCCATAGCTGCGCGGAGACGTCTTGGGCCAAAGGGGCCTTCATGGTAGGTGAGACATGTGTGGTCGAGGTCTGATGCTACCTGTTCACACTTGCTTAGCCAACCACTGTTCTCTACACTGTGTAGTCCAGGGCTCACCTGCGTGCGGATGTATTCAAGCATTACGTTGTGCATCAGGAACTACCACCTCATCAGTTAATATATACACGTCATGTCCAGATATAGGAGTAAGGATTCGGTGGCTGGGTACATTCTCTGCATTGCCGAAAGACACAACACCGTGCATGTTATCTTTATCGAAGGGGGGCTTGGGGGGGCCGAGATAGCTATTAGCCAAGCCGGCCTTGGCATATGTTTCCCCGCGGGTAGAAAGCATGTTGCAATGATTGATGAGGTCTCTTCTTCAGCTCGAGCCGAAGAATCCAGTGAAGAAGCGGGTGATCGGGTTTTCGATCCTGCAAAGAGGGTCAGGAGTAGGGGAAGCAGGCAGTGGGGTAAATCTGACAGCAGAGTGGGGTTGTTTCTACAAAGTTCCCCGCATCAAGCTGCTGCTGATGATGAGGGGTAATATTAGGGCTGTATTCTTGAACTCGGGGTCTATTCCATGGCCCATTGCCAAGTGCGCATGGATCTGCAATTGCAAGATCCATGATGGACTTCGGCCTGCTCCAACTATCATGTTGGTGTAGCTCCAGGCCTCATGCCGCATTTTGAGTTAGTCTGCAATATACCGGGTGAAGCATATTAGCGAAAACGGCCAAAAGATGGATTTGAGGCCGGAGAGAGAATCGTGCAATGCCTTCTATTGGCCTTGTATGTTAGGTAGTGCTCATTCCTAAAACTGGGGTTATGCATAGAGTACATATTTCCATATAAATTATAGTTGCCTGCAACCCCATGTATGCACAGAGTTGATATCCACTCTAGAGTCCAGGTCCTGCCTTAGCAGAGTCTATATCCGAATTATAATAATGTGACTGACCAAGTATGCAACGAACTAACTGAGTGCAGAGTGCCTGGCTTTTTAATAGGTAATTCTCATACTCTGTATAGTATCTTCGATCAGATTAGGTGGTTTCACCTAGTCCAATCAATCCGCTAAAACTGTAACCAATGGTTTTAACCAAACCGCTGTGAGTTTGGTGAGGGTTAGTTCCAAGTTTAGCAGTTCAGTTATACAGCTCTATCCTACATGTTGGGCCCAAGAGACTGCCAAGAATCAGTATCCTTAAACTATTGAGCATGAGGTTTAAAAATAAGGGTTGTTTAAATCTTGCCTCATAGTACCTCTTTAAAGAGGTATGTACTACAGTACTTTATTCTAGCTATTCTATTGGTTTATGTAATGTAATATTTACAGTTCCCCCTATTTCAAAAAGGCAAACTCAGTAGTTGGAAGATCCTCAGTGTCCCCAAAATGCAACCTAGTTTGTCTGTTTGTGAAGGTACTTTCAATGAGTCTTGTGTTTTCCAGATTCATCATCTAGGTGTAACTATAATTGTCCGCTGTGCAATCACCCAGATTTTACATTATAGCAAACCTAATATATGCATATATACTACCTCCTCTGTCGGTCTTCATACATGATGTCTGTAACAATTTGCGATATGATTTTTCCAACTCTCAATCACTGGCAGGTCAACCGGAACATTCACCCTAACACCTCCAAACAAATGAAATTCAAGAGACCTATTACGTACCACCGAAGCTCCAATTGTGTCATTGTAGCAGTCGTTGAAATGTTCTTGCAGGTCTGTCCACTTTTTTACCTTCTTTTTCTGCCACTTCTCATACAATGAATCACCATGAACTTGTCCTATGGCTGCAATAAAACCCCAAACCGGGATTCCTGTTAGTCCTGCGAACACCGTGTCCATGACAAGCTTGCCAAGTTTCAATCGCTTTTCGAGTCTATCGGTTGAGTTGTGGAAATACTCTTCCACTCCAATGAGTAAGAGCCCCAGCTTGGCTCCAATTTCTTCTTGATCTATTGTCATGCCGAACAAGTTTCGACATGTTTCTTGGAACTCTTCTTGGTCGAAATCCCCACACTTACGAATTAAGTTCGCCACGACCTTCGCTCCCAATCTGATTCTTGCAGCATCCGAAACATCCTCGCTATTTTTGAGTTGGGGATCGATCAGAGTCTCTGCAAAGTGGCGCAGGAACGTGTGGATTTGAGATATGCCTGCCAGCGGTGGCCTAGCAAAACGGACCAACTCACGAATCACAGAAGTGGATGACAATGCGATCAGTTCAACAAATGGATCGCCGCCTACCCGAAGCCCGACGCTGATGGCGAACAGTGATGCGAGTGATGCTGATGAGCTCCTGGCCCCACTCAATTGTCTCTCGGGGATGAAATGCCCTTTCCTGTCTACCAGGCAAAATTTAGTCTTTTGTGTTGACAGGCAACTCATCAACAGCTGACGCTCCTCTGGCTTGAGAGCCTTCACCGCGTCTGGGTTGATTTTGTGCACTTGGATAGTTGAAGCTTCAGGTGACGGAAGAAGTGATGCAAATTTGGTCCGAAATACTTGTGGGGGACAGTAGTCACCGAAATGAGGCATTCTCTTGATCCTGTAGCCATGCAGTATACCCATCCTGGGCGGGGTTAAGAAACCTCTTAAAGTGTAAACGCAGTCGCCACATCCGAATAACTCCTTTGCCACTGCATTTTGATGATCTCCCACGGTTGGCTCGCTTAGGAGGGCGTATATTTTTCCAAATTCTTGACCAGGAATGCGATATGCTTTATGCTGTATTCTGCCATCTTCCAACACTGGTCTCAGAACTGTTCTGTTCTGCTCTTGGTATTTCTGCATGGCCAGTAGATATAGGGATCCAGAATCGTCGCCATCTGAAGCATCCGCAACGACTGATGTTGAATTCTCTGTTTTTGTGAGCGAGTCCTTCTTCGTCCGCATACTCTCATTATCCGAGACAGAGGACATATGGTCCGGTGCCAGCGTCGACGAGGATCCAATATGATTGGTCCGTCGAGCCTTTGAGCGAGAGGTAGGTAATGGGCTATTAGCCTTATTACGCTTGCGCTTTCGTTTCTGCCCTGATGTTGTGAGATGCTTTTCCGTAGCTGATACCGTATTTCACCAGTATCCAGTTTGAAGATAGTTAGTACTGTCCTTCGTTGAAGAACACAAAGCAGGCTGTGCAAAGGAGTCCTGAGTTCCAGAGGTTGCATAATCGGAAATCCATTGGCGTCTCTATAAAAAGCCAGCGTTGCTAGAATCAGATACGAAAAGGTTGGAGAATACATTCATCATGTTGACGTCGTTGACAAATTCCGAAGGCCCACCATCAGTATATTTCTGAAGTTTAATTCGGGCCGCATCAACGTTCTAGATGTGAGTATGTTCAACATCACCCAATTGGAAAAGGAAAGGAAAAATTGAAGGCAAGCAATAATCCCAAGAAGCACTAGGCGATACCTAGTACATCATGTTAGGGTCATGTAAAATCATATGATATGATTTTCCCAAGCGGCACATCAGCCATCTTTACCCAATTTTGAACCACAAGGTAGTCCACAAGTGAGCAGTGGTAAGATCAATTCTGGCCAGCTACTGCGCTACACTACCTACATCATGGACTCAATGAGGATAATAATGAGTACCTCCCCTAGCAAAAGTAGTGCACATGATTAAATCAAATTTCGAAATCAACAACCATAAACAAGATGAAATATCAAGAAAACTAACTAATATAGAATGCCATATAATTTACATATAAAGTCTAATGATCATAGTTATTACTCCTTTCAATCTAATGACCTGTTCCATTCAACATGGCATCTATCGACCGGGGCAAGGATATCATCATCGCATTATGAACAGACCCCCAAAGTCTCCTCCGTGGTTTTGCAGCACACGACAGACCTCTCTATGTCCCTCCTTCGCAGCATAATACAAAGGCGTGAGAAACCCATTACATTGCGCATTGACATTCTCCTGTGCACCGCCATACCGCAACAGCCATTCACAAATGTCGACATGGCCCCTCTGCGCAGCCCAGTGGAGAGGCGTGTGTCCCCGAGCATCCTTCACCCTCACACTTGCCCCCAGCTCCACTAGCAATTGCACATTCGTCAGATTTCCATCCTCAAGCGCCCAGTGGACGATACTAGTACCCGTGTCGTCCACAGCATGTATGTCAGCCCCGTAATCAACCATTACCTTGATCAGGTCTGTATTGTTGCACCGCACAGCCATGCGTAATGGTGTCCCTCCACCTTTTGTGACTGCCCCCAGATCCCCGCCATGGTTGAGAATAAGCTCAACCATTTCTCGCGTGCCTTCTCCCGCAGCATAATGCAGACACGTCCATCCATGACTGGGACCAGCAGCATTGACATCCGCCCCACACTCAAGCAGCACTCGGCACAGATCCCATTCGCGGGCTTTTGCAGCCATCAGGAGCGTGGTTGCGCCCTGCCCGTTCCGCTGTTCAAGGGTCGCTGGATCCGTCGCTGCTATCCAGCGACAGATGTCCTTATGTTTCCGGCCAACAGCGTAGTGGAGTGGACTTCGACTGATGTCGTTCAGTCTCTGGAGGTTTCCCCCTCGACGGACGAGACGCTGTAGGAGAGATAAGTGATTTTCGTGCGCTGCAAAGTGCAGATAGGTGCCATTGTGACGGCTGGAACCAGGCTGGAGGAGTCGTTTGTATAGGGGGTCTTGTAATAGGCTGTACAGCGCTTTATTGACGAGGCTGAGGCGGTAGGTGTCGCCTGGCCAGTCTAGCTAATAATTATAAATATTGTAGAAAGGCAGGAGGAATCCACTTGTATTACTCACGTAGTCGACAGTTAAGAAGAGCGCTAGTTGCGTTGAACTCATCTTTGAAGCTGGATGAATCGTCTCGACCATTATGTATGAATGTCATGGCAGGAAAAGGATGATAATGGATCCGGACAGGAAGAGCCATCACTTTATATGGCCAGAGATAGATGTTGATCTCGTATTCTGTTCTACGTTTTCTATCTATAGTTAGGCACTGGTGATCAATACAAGCTGCGGATTCCTTTGGCCCCCTGGACACGCAGCTAATGTCAGAAACAATACTACAAGAAGTGAAAGGAAGTGCAGCACGAAAGGTAAGGTTCCTGGTCTAAGTGTCAAAATGCTCTATTTTGTCTCTTCCATCAGGAGCTTCTGCAAATGTATAGTCATTATCTGCTAGTGGGTTGTGCTGAAAGATAGACCCATTGCCATCATCCGGTGCAAGCTGAGTCGTATCATTGTCCGCAGTGTGTTGCCGCGAGCTGCCGGTTGGTCTGCTCTAGTCAATCGATACGTCACCTGTGGCCACTGAAGCATTCGGCTCCAATGCGGAGAATTCGAGATGAGAGTCCAAAATATGTTTCTGCACACTTGATTCCTGTATTGGAGCCGATCGCCTGGGACGATGATCAATACTGCAGCCCTCTTCCAGTTGGCGAAGGTAGCTAGGAAGACCAAATAATCAGCATCCGGTTCTTTGAGATGGGATCAGCGGTTCAAAAAAAACTCACCTTCCGGGGACGGATATCATCCGTTCTTCAGGAGGAAAGTTGCAGATCTTTGGCTATCACATCTCGTACAAGGCTGCGCCCCGGAACACTTGAGCTTCATCGAGCAACATCGCTCACAACTTTACTGAGTCAGTTATCAACCCTAAATAAAAAAACTGGTATATATGAAGGCTGACACATGCTCTTGCACCTCTTTTCTTTCCTTTGATCGGTCGTTACGGGATGCTGGCATGGCAGGCACGTTTCCATTAAGACAATTCAGATCATGTCAGAAACTGTGGAGTAACAATGCAGGCTTCGGCTTCGGCTTCCGACTCTCCCTTTATATACGCGGAGAGACCACTGCGGGTCTGGGCTGATGAGAACTGATCTTTTTCGTCAATCATCATGGAGAAAGTATGTTGTCCTCCCCATGTCCTCCTCGCACACGTCAATATAGTTGCCTACGGGATCAGCTCATCACAATCCAAACTTCATATAGTCTTCGCCGCTCTCGTAGCAAAAGACAGTAATATCAAACACGACCTCAAGATCGTCAACGACTTTGACCCCAATTATTATAGACACTTTTACCCGCCGCACATGCACGAGGACATGGCGAAGCAGAATTTCCACTTCCCTTGCACCTTCCGCATTTGTGCCACTTATTCATAACGGAACTTCCAGCCCCTTGGCAACTCGGGCAAGTTCTCCGATGACTGAAGAAAGTTCCAGTGTTCACTACGGTCATACCACCGCAGCACTCACAAATCTTTCGTTCACTTTTCCACCATCCACCGTGGCCTTGGCAGTTGGCGCAAATTGTGGTAATGGCGCCGGCGCCCTTGCATGTACGACACTTAGGACTCATGATGACTGTTGAATTATAAAAGCTTAACGGGAGGCAGCGGCCGAAGAATAGTAGAATGAAGGATATCTAGTTAGGTCAAGAATATCAGCCCTATGGGGTTACGTAGTCGATAGAAAGGAGAAATGATAGAGGCAGACCTTTTCTCTTGAAGCTCAGAGAGAATATGTCGAGGTGCACGACTTTTGATGTAGGTACAGTAGGGGAGGAGGAAATCTGCTGTTAAAGATCTGCTGGGGTGCTCTTGAAGAGAATGTCTGAAGATGGTCTATTCTAGAGAGCTTTAACCATGAGATGATTTAGTTGAATTATATTTCTGGTTCAGGTTACCATCCCAAAAAGTGCGTCGCGCAAGAGCCGCAAGACATTATGAATACCAGCTCATGCAACTCCGCCACGTCACAGACATACCAGCCTATAGAAAGGGATCCGGCCCACAAACGAGGCAGACAGCGAGGCGGCCATGAGGTCTGCCTGGGTTAACGGCTCCCCAGCTTCCCTTAGGAGCCTATAACAAGTGACTAGGAAATAGAGAAAATAAACGCCTCCATTTCCTACCAATCCCAACAGTCTCTCGCGGTTTTTGAGCTCGGATTGCAACATTATCTGTCAGTTGACCGAAATGTAACCGAGTAGCTTTTGTTGCTCTATAGTTGAATGCGGTCGCAAGTGTGACGCGACGAGCCTTGTCCGCTGAAAGATTTGGAGCGGAGATATATATTCAAAATGCGAAGAAGCCCCTGTAGGATTGACCTTCTCCAAACACAAACCCTGAATCAGTATACTTTGAGAAAATAGATCTCAGCTCCTTGTCAGATATAAATTCCCGCTCTTCTTCCATCTTAATGACTAGTGTCCATCTCTAGATTCTGACTTATTTATTATCACGAGCTCTTTAACTAAGAGAACAGAGACCGGATGCGATTTCTTCAACAACATCTTTCTTTTGCAGGCCTGCAATCCACTCAGCTGGTATCTCTTCGATCCCATAATATGCTCCTGCGAGCCCTCCATATACCGCCCCCACGGTATCGGCATCATAGCCCAGATTGACGACCTTGAAAGCTCCGCTTTCAAAGGTGCTTGTGGTGAAGAAAGCCCAGAGAGCAGCCTCAAGCGTGGAAAGGACGTATCCCGACGATTTGATATCATCTTCATCCGTGTTCTCCCAGTCGGAGAGAGTTGAATAACGGTCAAGCCGTTGCTTCACCTTAACATCTACGAAAGCCGTGCCAGTGAACTCTTTAGCAAGATCTTCCTTGCTAGCGCGATTCATAGCGCGCACAATGAGTCTGGTGTAGATCTGGCAGCACTCGGCACACGTGGGGTAAGGATGAGTGGCATTTGAGGAAACAGCAGCGTTGGACAATGCCCTGTCCGTGTCTCGGAAAAACACAAGTCCAATGGGTGCAACGCGCATGAGGGAGCCGTTTCCACAAAACATCTACCACCATCAGTATTGTATCTTCAGTCTTGGAGACCATGCACTTACTTCGCGCTTCAAGGCTTTGTCGATTTCAGGTTGTCCGCCCTCATGACCGTTCGGGTCATCTGCGCGGATATGAGGCGACCTGTCAAAGTAGTGTTTCCAGATCATCAATGCTTGTCTGGTTCCACCCCCAATATCGAAGCATTCATCAGTAGCTGATAAGTAGCCATTCTCGTACCACTCGATATAGTTACGAATTGCAGCCTGAGGGTTGAAGTTGCCTTTTGAGGCGATGAGTGACTGAGCAAGACATAAGGTCATGGATGTGTCGTCAGTCCATGTGCTGTGTTCTTCTTGATTAGTTTGGGTGCGAATGGTAAGGACATGTGACGAATGCTCACCCGGGTGGAACATCGAACGTGTCATTGTGCATGAAGTGGGTTACTGGCGGGAAACTGCGCCGTGGTTGGAACTCTACCGGCCCGCCGAGGGCATCAACAACTGCCACGCCAAAGATAGATCCTTTGATTCTAGACTGCACTGTCGGGTTTCCCATGTTTTCAGGGCAAATATGGATTATGTGGGAGCATCCAAGTGATAGTTAGATTGTTATTGCTAACCAAACAGGACTGATACGGATCTGGGTGATAAATGTGTCAACCTGTGGGGTAAAGTCAGGCAGCTGAGAGAGATAGGGGGGCCGCAGCCGCATTTATACGAGCATTTTACGAGTGAAGGAAGACTGTGGCTATGCAATGATGGCGGGATGGCTGAGCATCCTTGGTTATATGTGCTAACAGAGTAACAGGTGCAATCCATATTCAACGACGAATATATTTTTAAGAAACTCGATTGATCTGAAGTTCTGAACGTTGTGTCTGAGGAGACTCGATTGATAGTTGAAAAGCGAGGGCGCCCCATTGGTCCAGGCGTCTGCTCACGTGGTTGGTACAACTACCTTCACTTACATAATGCTCGCTCACGTGATTTTTGCTATCCCCCAAAGAGCATCCTCATCAACGGCATCCGACTTTCAATTGCAACTCCCATTCGTGATGAATGCCACTGATGACAATATTGCCATCCATAAAGTATCAGTACAACGTGCGCGTCAAGCATGTGGACCCTGCCGGTATGTACAACTAATGCGTGGTTCTTTTCGCCTTTTCGTAACCCACCCACGTGATTCCGTGATTCGATCAAGCAGACAACTAACTTTCATTGTTTGCATCAAGTCGAAAAAAGGCTCGTTGTCCAGGCGAGAAGCCGACTTGCTCACTATGTCGGAGACTCGGTCAGCGGTGTACATACACCGCGCGGCGGGCAGCCAATCGCGCTTCATCAGAAGCACTTTCGGGACTCGATCAACAGCGCACCCTAGATGACGGGTTGCCAGGAAATGTTTCGAACGCTCAGCAGTTCCGGCGTATCGAAGAAAGACTGGATGCGATGACGACCCTTCTCCAGTATGTCCTCCTCAAGTCTAAACGCCTTTCTTCGTTTGCTTCAATCACTGATATTTTTCTGACAGAGAGAGGTTGCCGGCAAGCAGTGCCGTGAATAGAGCACCCGAAAGGATGAAGAATCCAAATGCGGGAGATACGGTATCATGGTATGTATTTGACAATTTTCATTCCCATTGCGATGAACTGTGTAAGTAATGAAGTCAAGTGTCCCCTTTCAGCCGGGATACATCAGATCTCAGGTGGAGATATACCTGGACCACTTTCATGACCAGCCATACTGTGTCTTCTCGAGAGATAGGCTCATAAGAGATGCGGAAACCTTGCCTTCAGAGGTCATTTTTCCCCTTGTCGCCCTTACCTCTCGTCTCGCCAGTAAATCATCTAGGGGCCGGCAGACAGATGTGGCTAATACAGGAAATTGTACTGATATGGCTTGGAACATTCTGGCTAGTCAGTACAAGACAGGAAACCTGTGTCTTTCTTTCCTACAAGGCACGTTCCTGATGGTTCAACTAGATCTCTCCAATGGCCGGTCAGATCGAGGTTACAGTAGTGTCGCTCTGGGACTTCGAGCACTACAGTCAGGGGGCCTGAACAGAAGCGATGGCTACACATCGCTTCAGGATAAAGCAGATCAAGAGGACTGGAAGCGCATCACGTGGGCGTTTTTCATGATTGACCGCAATTATAATGCCTCCCGCAACTATTCGATCTGCCTGAGAGACAAGCACTTCACACTACCCTTTCCTTCTCCGGATGCAACTGGTTCAGATCATGAAGGGCCAACATCTTGCGGAAGACTGTACGATGCGCCTGGGAACCTAGGAAAAAAGGTAGATAACGGAATTATGGCCTGTCTCATCCGCCTTTCCTCGATCTGGGGCAAGCTCACAGAGTACGTCTTCGAGCCTTCTGATGCGGATAAACTACCCCCATGGCAGTCAGGCTCGACATTGGCAGGGCTAGAGTCGGACTGGATGCAATTCCAAACGCATTTTGCGGATACGCACCGCTACATGAACGTTGATTTTCGACGCCGAGCGCGCGAGGAGCCGGGCTCGCGTACTTACTTGTCTACCTGGCTATGCGTTCAGTTTCTTTTCCATTCGGTACAGGCGTTGCTGCACCACCCATTCGTCATCACGAGTAAGCTTCGCCAGTACGGACAAAACATACCATCTACCTTTCTGCAGAAATCTCACGAGAGCTCCGTCATCCATTCCAGATGGATTGCCCGGTTTGTGCGGGAAATGGCCGAGGTGGACTTCGAGCTCTATGACCCTTTCATTGGGTACCTCTGCGCGATTGCGGCCACGATCCAGTTGGAGCATACGCAAAGTAAAAAGCAGCAAGTTGCCCGCCTGGCCAAGAACGACTACAAAACACTTGTGGCGTTCGTGACAGGTTTATCTGCGTACTGGGGGAACATGAGAGTATTGGTGCGTTAACCCGAATTGGCAATTGGGACAGCACTAATGGTCTCCATCAGGCCGATCGGTTAAACAAAATTGCTGAACGACGCAAGGACTACGGTTCACTGTATGATAATCAGGGAGAGTTCTCCGGTATTCTTCCCTGCATGCCAGCCTCATCTGATTTACCTCGCATGTCCGCTGAGGACGAGGCTCTGATGTGGGATATTCTTGACTTTGGTACATCCTGCAGTTTTGCCAAGGTATCTATATTTGATGCTTCCTGCTCTTCGCCCGATCAGCATATGGAAGGTGTGTCTGTTCTGCCGCCTCTTGACGACTTCTTTCCGACAGGACATGATGTAGTAGGCGAGGTGGTGGTCAATCAGCAAACACCCCGAGCTCAAGAGCATCAACAGGCTACAAACTCTCTTGATCGCATTCTTCCACCGGAGTGGCCGATTTCAGATACTGATGAGATGGGATTGACAATGCCTGATGTTCCGGACTGGATGCTCTTTGGAGGTTACCTGCCGGAGCAGTTGTAATTCTAACCTGCCCGCTTGTTGACTATTGGAAGATTTCCCACACAAAGTGGCAATTCCGACCTAGCATGGAGTAAGCGAGCATTCCTGATCCGGCGTGTGCGCTTGAGACTCGCGGAATAGTCTCGACCAACGCTCTTACTATCGTTACACCACTCCATATCTTGCCCAAATGGAGGACGATATCTGGGCCAACCTCAGACGCAGACCACAATCGATTCGTCATAGTCTAATTATATTATGCATTATGTACAAGCATCGAAGCCCACGTGCATTTTCTTCCTGGCCTTCTAGATCTTACTTATTCTCACTGATGCACTCGTCATTGCAGCAGTATACATCTCCCGCTCTTGAGGTGTCATCTCTCGTCTCTCGGGACCTCCACGACTGCCATCCCCATGAAAAGCATTCTCTTGGAACATTTCACGGAACTGTGTGGGGAATTTCCATTTATCCAGCAGTTCGCTCGGCAGCTTCCGCTCGATACTACCGACAATGTACTTTCCCAGGACAGGGAGGAATTTGAAAGCACTATGCTTCTGTCAGCTTCGTCGATACGGCTATTCTCGCAGCGCTTCACCTACTGTCCGCTTCCGCCTGTTGCAATAAACAGGTTCTTGTGCTCAGGATGATAGTCGAAGATGAAGTCTCCAGTTGGCGTGTCGTTGTACCAACACAAACCCACCTTCTCGAATTCCCGTTCGCCAAATTCAGGCAAAATATCTCTCAGACCCGCCAAAAGCCGTTCCATTCCGTCTGCAGGAATGAAGTTGGTTCGTGCAGAGACAGCGGAGCTTGGTGGTGCAGATACAGCTTTTGGATGTGGCGATGTATACCCGAATCCGTGCACGGCTACTTTCAGGTACCCCGTGGCCTCATGGATGGGGAAACAGAAGAAGCCTGTTGAAAAATTGAAGTAGATGGGGAGGTCCTTAAGCCGAATCATCTCCTCGGGTGTCAGACGAAGCCATCCAACAACCTGTCCAGCAGCCACCATCGAGTTCCACGAGGGGATGAGACTCGCCGTCCAGGCGCCAGTCGCAACGATAAATCTATTACCAGTGATGCGGTTACCATTGAGAGTTCGAACGGCATCAACCCTCCCATTCTGCCCATACTCGAACTCGACGACATGGCCATTCGGACCGGTAATAAAGCTGACTCCCGCCGCCACGCAGCGACTCGCAAGTCTCTGAATTGCTAGTCCCGCATCCGCCCAGCCAGCATTGGTATTGTAGAACCCGTCAAAGCCAGGCGTTGCCAGCTTCCCACTCAACACAGGGAACCGTTTCTTCGCCTCCTCGACGCTGGAAACAGCATGCCACTCCTGCCCCATTTCCGTCAACACCTGCCGCGTCCTGCGGGTGTACCCAGCCGCACCGGCCTGCACCGGCCGCCCCGGGGTTCCTTCCTGCGACACCCATAGACAGGGCGTCTGGTGGAATGCCTCCGAGTACTCGGTTGTCTTCCACAGGTCGTACGCCTCTTTGGCGATCTGGGCGTAGACTGGATCGCCGTAGTCGAATCGGATGATGCGCGAGATGTCGTTACTGCTCCCATCTGGAACCGGGGGCATGCATCTGTCGAGGACAGTGACGGATGTGTGTCCGTCCTGGGCGAGCCTTAGGGCTGTGGAGAGCCCAAAGGCACCGGCGCCGATGATGATGAAGCCATCGTTCTTGTTCATCTTTCGCGTTCTTTTAGGATGATTGAAGAACCTTTACATCTGGATTCCATTAATAAATTGAGGACATATCTCGACATTTATATGTCAATGGCGAGGACAGAACCGGTATCGACTCAAACTCACGGCCCGTGAGCCCGACACACCTGTTCACTTGAAAATAGGCCGATGAGCCGGACCGTACACGGACCGTCCCCACATTCGGTAATGAAGAACCAATTGACCAATGAAAAGCCTAGAAGTCTATACTGTACGAGAGCAACAAGTTCGCCTTCATTCTCCGCGCAGATACTTTTGACCGGCTTAACATAATCACATAATTTTACCCATCCCCAAAGAGCATCATCCATCCACGACCTAATCGACCAATCAAAGCCTAGAGGCTAGATTTAGAACATTTCAGACCGTGGAGTCCGGGTTGGTAGGGTCCGGGATATGGTAACCTCCAGCGTTGTAGCAGGCCCAGGAGGGACAAAAAACAGGACCATTTGCAGGAAGCGCAGTGCCTGGGGCGGAGACATTCCCAGGAAATTGTTGTAGACATACTAAGAGCAGGTTAGTGATATAGACCGTGTCAGGAGCTAATTAATGCAGTAACCAGTCATATACCTGCTCATCCCTCTGATATATATCAGTAGCTCAATGTCATTGGTATTTATGTGCGTATATTGTTTGCTGACTGTGGGTATGTTGAATTGACCATGGATCCGAAGGCTGGTAAACTAACATTAAACATTGAATGATTGTGCTATCCAGCATCAAGCTGGCCTAAGCTTTTGTGGGGTAATTTCTCTTAATAGTGCTTGTGTCCTACTGTCAGTTGTGATCATAAACATGCTAATGTATTCCGGAACCTATTCTCACAAAATGACCAGGAGATAACCAGGATATGAGAATCCCCAAAAGATTACTTGGTATGCGGCCGCGGATACATCTCTACTGTTATTTATCATCATGCTGCGGCTTGAGATCCTACTATGTACTGTGAAATATTTATATGCCGCAGAACATTAGCTTATCCACAGGAAAATATAAATAGGCATTTATCGTGCCACCCATACTTCCAATTGAGAATTCATCTTTATCACTGAACGACGTCGTCCACAGAGCTTTACAAAGCCCTTCTCACCAGCGGCCTCAGCGAAATTTGTAATGATGCGTCCCTCATCTTGCGCCAAATGTCTCGTTTACAGCACGAAGGCTGGCCCGACTCAGTAGGCTGGAAAAACAAGGCCGCCCTTAAAAAAGCCGCAAGTGATACAGTAGGACTCACCAAGGAGCCGCTCAAAGCCACTGAGCCTGACAAAGGCACGCAGTTCGCGAAGATTATCAAAGAGGGAGCAAGCTATCTCCTCAGGAGTGTAGTAACGAGTGGGGGTGAAGGACGACGCCAGTATGAGCTGGATCTCGAACAAGCTTGTGCCGCATTTCTCAAGATCGCTATGAATATCAGAACACTACTCATGGATCTCCTACTAGAAGAGGAGAAGGCGCTATATGCTTTGGGGCAAGAAGAGATGTTGTCAAGTGAAATGGAAAGAATGACATTGGTCACAGCGGTCCATCGAGCTGCGTGACCCTTGTCAAGCGTCAGCAGTACGTGGATAGAAGACAATATAGTGCGGCGTGTTTATTCTTGGATTGGTAACAAGACTTTATAATACGCCTTACTTCCGTTTAACAGTATTCCATGCATAAAACATAATGTCACTAGGCATACGCCTCTGAGCCTGGAAGTTGAAGAGGTAATGAGGGTGATCATCAGACTCCTCTTAGACAGAGGATGCAGTCCTGATTCTCATGATGAAATGTTAAATGCGCCAGTACGTATAGTTGAAAGACTTGGGAATGATTGCATTCTCCAAACGTTGAAGGAGAAGAGCAAACCTTTTATTCCAAAAAGGCCCCCGATGAGCAGGCGCGCACGAAGGCGAAGAGTATCTAATAAGCATGTGCCATGAGCGATAACTGGCTTTCCTCTTCCCCCATCCCCCGACCCATCATTTCAGGACGTCTATCCAGAACCACAGGCTCCCTTAATCCTTCTTAGGTCTGTCACCAGAGAATGCCAAGCCTACGTTTCCGTCATCGAATGAAACATGATGGAGTCACGGTAATCTCACCAGGTTATGCATACAGTGGATCATTCTCAGTTAGTCGCTTTTGATCGCTACAGGTTAGAAGAAGAGGCATGACAAGGAAGAGACTGGGTTGCATGTCAGCATCACAACGCTGATTCTGATGGCGGGGTGGATGGGTATAGAATGCGTGGTGGGGAGATGTGTGGACAAGGGGAAGGTGAGAGCAACCAGAACCATCTATGCAGGATGAATCACCTAGGTGATCAACCAGCTTCTCAGCTTGGCAACGAACTCACTTTTTCAGTTATCTAATACTATGAACTTGGGACCAATTCTTGAGTTAAAGTTGTTTTGCCGAAACCCTCATAACCAAATCCGTTGACCCACATCCCGGAGTCAGCACCGGAGTTATGGCTGTATCGGTTTTAAGAGCATGGCTAAGCTCAAACATGTCAGCAATTAGTATCAGATGGCTATCAGCACTCCATAATTCCCCGAACTTTAGCCACATGATTGGTCGAATAGTATCCATTGTATGATATCACAGCATATTCTACCAATACGCCGATCTTTATACACCGCAATGATGAGCACTTCTCAGCAAGGTATATATATTCGTGTATCGCCGCAACCGACATCAAGAGAAAGCAAGTAGATCAAAATCCTGAATCAACTGTGACACCTCTACCATTTCTTTCAGGAGCAAAGATGGTCAAAACACTCCCCTTCGGCGATATCGAAGTGCCTTCACCTGGCTTTGGTGCCATGGGCTTAAGCTTCGGCTTGGGTACCAATCTCACCTTCGAGCAAGCAGAGCCGGTTCTTATGAAAGCGATTGAACTAGGGTGTACATTCTGGGACACTGCTGTGAGTTCAGTACCCCCGACATCCCAGACACAAAGCCTAACACATCAAGCAAAGGTCGTCTACCAAGCTGGTGTGAATGAAAAACTGCTGGGCGATTTCATCCGGAAACACAATGTCCGGGACAGGGTCTTCAGTGAGTCACTCTTGCTGTCTGTCTACTCTGTCATAAGTTAACAGAGCCCGCTAGTTGCGCCGAAATGCGGTTTCAACGTTGCAGATTTCTCCGTCACCAATTCCGCTGCTCATATCAAGGAGTATATCGATGGTACCATCGAGCGACTTGGCTTCGCGCCTGACCTCTATTACTTGCACCGGATCGATCCTAGTACGTCTCAATCATATATAATCCCTAACGGATACTAAAGAGGTGGTCAGAAACACCACTCGAGGAGTCGATCCCTGCCCTCGATGAGATCCGCAAGGCCGGCAAGACCAAGTATATTGGTCTCTTGGAGTGTTCGGCTGCGACACTGCGCAAGGCCAACTCAAATGAGATTTTCCTTCCGTTCTCCTCGCGTCTTACTAACAGATGGCAGTCGCCAAGATCGATGCCGTGCAAGCGGAGTATTCTGCATTCGAGACCATCCATGAGACTGACGGTCTCATTGACGCATGCAGAGAACTAGGAGTCGCTTATGTTGCCTACAGTCCGCTGGGACATGGCTGGCTCGTCGACGACTTCCAATACAAGTCTCCTGATGACTTTGCCCCGGATGATTTCCGCCGGAGGAGTATGCTATCCCTGGAGCTAATGGACAATATAAACATTTGCTAATGCTGATGACCTAGGCCCCAAATTCCAAGGGGAGAACTTCTACAAGAACAGAGCAATCGTGGAGGAGATCAAAAAGCTTGCTGCTCGGAAGAATTGCACCACCAGTCAGATAGCGCTGGCCTGGGTCGCCGCGCAGGGATTCATTGCTATTCCCGGTACGACTAAGGCTAGCCGGCTCGAGGAGAACTGGGCGTCTAGGGAGATTGATTTGACCGAGGAGGAGAAGCAGGAGATGCGGAGAATCATTGACGTGGCGAAGCCGTATGGGAATAGGTACGCGCCTGAGCATCAGGCTTTGGTGGGACATTAGTTTACCATGAGTCTAAACGGGAGAGAATTTCCAGCAGTTTCTGTAGATTTGACATAGAGCTGCAGCTCAGTCGCACTAACTTTAGACAATATACTGTTGTCATCTCACCTTTGTATCTCTTTGAACATTCTTCTGAGAGGTTCTATATAGCGTTGCAAGCGCAGCAACAATGTTTGCTTTATTTGCATGTCTCAAGGGAGCTTCGTAATAGTCAGAGTAATGGGTGCTTTGCAACAGGATACCTTCCATATAATAGGCAAAGCTTAGCCAGCAAGGGGGGCTAGTGGTCTTAGCCTGATACGACCTGCCGATTCTGGCCATTTGTCTTAGCTTTGTCAGGAGAATGTATTTACCCTATTCCTCTATATTTCCGTCGGGGATATTTAAAACCTTGGGAAGGTGGTATCTCATAGCGTATAGATCGCTTTGTTTTGCCTGTCGAGGACGATGCGCTATCTGCGGCTATCAACAAGGCCACCACCGAATGTCGCTTGTATTCATGCCGACCAGAAGGACTTTGGATTTGATCATTTCAGATACATCGATCGCCAGGGGTTTTTGGATGGGTAGACTTAGGGACTTCAGCAGGTCTTAATGGATTGAAAGAAAGATAAATCAAGCATGGTCAAGTATGTAGTGAGTCTAGGAGAGACCCAAGTTACAAGTACTTAGGGTTCAGGGATGCTGAAACTAACTAGTAAGATGGTTCTAAATAGCTCACAGAACCTTGATAAACATGCAGGGCAATTCTTCTACTATAATAAGTATTAATGGAACTACATATTTCCTTCCCTTTTATTGGACGCTCGTGCATCTCCACCAAACCTTGGGTATTATCTGCAGGGCAGTTTTGTTCTGCGAACCCTTCGCTCTAAAAAAACAATGTTATCAGGCGTCAATCAGTCTGCTTATGGCGCTTCCGCCATTGTCACCATACTCGGCTAAAAAACCCAGACATACGGTGGTGCCAAAGCAATGCCTTAGTGTGGAATGTCTTGTAATGGCGACATATGAGGTTATCCAGTCTACGCTTGTCTACCTACTAAGAAGTTCAAGGGATGTTTCTTGACATCATTGAATCTATTAAAGTAGGTCTTTTGAAGCACACTAGAGGTGTCTGCTGCTCTTTGTAGAGATGGTGACCTAGCAACGCCAATACCCCAAGGTAAATTGAACAGTAGAAATTCAAATTGGAATCTTGTCGCCTTGGTCGTATGATCTGAGTCGTTGTACATCAACAATTGCCTGATTGTGCACGTATGAGACCTCGATCTCGATCTCGATATCGATCGAATGCTGCGAATATCTTGATTCTATTCGGTTGTTTGCATCACCAGGCGGTCATAGTACCCTGTCACCAGTAGCAGAATGCTTGAATCAGATGATAGGTATTAGCAACAGAATAAGCTATGTCAATGACATTGAGAGTTTTCCGCACCTATCACGCATTTTTCTGTATTGGCATAGCTCATACTTGGGTACTGATTCCAATGACTCGAGATGCTCCTTGATTTCTAAATTCCTCGTTTCAGGGAAGTTCCAGAAATGTGCGTACGTCACTGTGAACAGTATAGTCTAGATCCGTTGTATCAACACCAGGATAATTCAAGAAAAGAATGCAACCATAGCGACAAGTCTAGAACATGACGTGGACATGACATTTATTGGCATCTATTACTTGGTAATTCTCGCTGTGTGATTGGCCACCCCGGATCTGTGGGGCATGTGGGGATGATCTGCCTCCAGTTATCTGCCGAAGTATACCACTCACAACCACCGCAAGTATATAAAAGTACCTCTACAACAGCCTCAACCCCTTAGCACAGCCTACAACATATCTATAACCATGTTCCCCCGCTGTCTCGCCTCCAGAACACTCACTCTCAGACCATCCACAGTCACACCCATCACATCCAGACTCATCCAGAACCGCACCTTCGCATTCACATCGCCCACCATGACTCGCCTCGCAGACGCAATCAAAGACGACCACCGCGAGCTCGAAGAAGCCTACAACAAGATCCTCTCTGCCAAAACCTCCGATGAAAAAACCCGCTGGCAGAACCAGTTCACATGGGAACTGGCCCGCCACTCCATCGGCGAGGAGCTGATCGTCTACCCGCTCATGGAGAAGAACCTCCCTAAAGGCAAGGCGATGGCCGATAAGGACCGCGCGGAGCATCAGACTGTATGCCTTCCCCTCCTTCCCTCCCTTCTTTTAACTATGAGTGTTGGTGTTAACGAGAAATAGGTCAAAGAACACCTCTACAAATTCCAGGGCCTCTCCACCGAGGACCCCGAGTTCGAGCCCACGCTCAAGTCCCTCTGGACTAATCTGAGCCAACACATCAAGGAAGAAGAGAGCGAGGATCTGCCTTCGTTGGAGAAGACGCTTGACCAGGACGACTCGGAGAACCAGACGAAGAAGTTCATGCGCACGAAGAAGTTTATCCCGACGAGGAGCCACCCCAGTGCGCCTGATAAGCCGCCGTTTGAGACTGTAGCCGGGTTGCTGGCTGCGCCGATTGATCATCTGGCGGATTTGTTTAGGAAGTTCCCTGAGGAGTCGAAGAGTCAGTTGCCGCCTTGAACTTCTTGATTTTTACGTTGGTAGCTTAAGGGGCAGTTGGAGTTGTGAAGTTGCTTGTTTATGAGTTATATGATTAATGTGTGTATAGTTAAATGCAATTGAAACATTAAGTGGATGAGGTTCAATAAAGTAATTAGAAAGATAAGGATAAGGGAGATTAGTTGGTAGGGCAGGCTCCAGCCCCCTTGGACGTTTTAGTCACGGTCTCCGTCTGCGTGACTGTCGTCTTTACCGTCGTCGTCTTGGTACTGGTGGCCCGGGAAGTAACCGTCGCCGAAGGGGTAAGACTATGTGTTGTCGTCTTTACAATTGTGCTTGTAGGAGTGGCGAGCGTGACTGTTGAATGGACCGTCGAGACGGTCGACTTGGTCACGGTGACTGTGCTCCGAGGAAGCGAGACGGTCGATTCGATTGTCGTTGTCTTGATGCTGGTGACGGTCTGAGTGGCGCCAACCACTGTGGTAGTTGATGTCTTGGTTGCGAGCGAGGTAACAGTCCCCGTGGTGGTAGAGGCCTTGAGGGTGGTGGTCTTCCCGATGGTTGAGATGCTGGTCTGCGTGACATAGCTGGTTACCGCTGGGATAGTGCTGGTCGTGCCCTTGGTCACGGTCGACAGGACGGTAATGGTGCTAGCTGACGCTGGGATAGTCGTCGTCTTGCCGGTCGTCTTAGTGGTCACCACAGTGACAGTATCGGTTGATGCAGGAAGCTTGACGGTGGATGTCTTGACAATTGTTGTGAGCGTGGTGTAGTCGGTGACTGTCACAGCGGCAGCAGCTCGAGGGATTACATTCCGCTTCATCTTTGCTGCTGGAACACAGCTAATCGTAGTCGTGATGGTCTTGGCTTTGGAGACTGTGGAGGTGACGCTGACGGTGCTTGTCATAGCCTTAGCCGTGATAGTGGTGGTGCCGCCAGTACCCGTAGTGACGGTGACGGTTGAAGTTACCTTGACTGTTCCCGGAGTGGAGGTCGTGACAGTAGTCGTTGTGGTCACTGCCGTTGATGTTGTCGTTACTGCTTTGGCCGTCACCGTGGTGGTTGTGGCAGAGGTCAATGTGCTCTTGACGGTGACAGTAGACGGCGCCTGGGTAGTTGTTGCAATGACTGTGGTAGTTTCCTTTAGCGTGCTCGTACTCGTGCTTGGAGCCGGTGTGATGGTGAGTCCGACATCACTGGTAATGACAACCTTCTTCGTGCTCCACACCGTTGGCTCAGTAACAATCACAGTGTCTGTGATTGTAGTCTTCTGCGTCGTTGTCTTGAAAGACTCGGCCGCAGTCAGAGTTGTACCCACATCTTCGGTGACGGTATACTTGACCGTGGATGTCTTGTCGGTAGAAGTCAAAGTCGTGTACACAGTCTCCTGATCCGTCACGGTCACTGTCGTTGTCACGGTCGAGGGTGTAACGACGGCACTGGAAGTAGGCGTAGCTGAGCTCACAACCGCACTCGTGCTGATTGCAATTCCAGGCACGAACGGGGTTCCACTGACATGGGTGAAATCAATCCAAGATGTAACGGCAAAGAAACTCGACAGCTGGAACTGAGAAATGCTGCTACCATCCAATTGAGTTGCAAACGATGCACGCTGAGCAGTCGACGCGCCAGGACCATAGTTGCCATATTCTCCGAACACCACCCCATCGGTGTTTGGAGCGCTCGAGGACCACCGCTCCCATCCAGCAGCAGTCACACATGAGTCAAGGTATGAATCTACGTATGCCACCCGAGCAAAAGAGTTCCATGGCCTGCCGAGCGAGATATCGGACATTGTCCCGGCACCCGTAGAGGGAACGATGGTACACTGGTCGAAGACGAACCCAGCGGCAGTAGTATTCGTGGAGCGCTTATCGGCCGTCAGATTGATGCCATCTTCGTTAGGCGCAATAGTCGACTTGAGGAAATAGCCAGCTCCCGATCCCCAGATCATATCGATGTTCCCCTCGATGTAGCTGTTGCTAGCGAAGAAATATCCATTGATCAAGAGCGCATCCTGGTTTCCCTTCACCTGGCAGCCGTACAAAGCAGCATACTTGCTTGACTTGACTGCAAAACCGAGAGATGCATAGTCCTTAGCGGTGCCAAAGTTGTTGACAAAGTTGATGTTGATAGCCTGGAAGTAGTTGCCGGTGCCATAAACAGTGGCACTATCCGAGTTGGACTGGTCGGCCTGGGTATCGACACCAGCATTGTACTGGATAGTGACCTGGTTGCTATTGTAGTCGAAGGTCGAGGTTGAGTAGCCGATGAAAATCGTGGTTCCGGAACGATTGAGCACAAGCTGCTCCTCGTAGACACCCGGGTAGATGAATACCGTGGGTGTCACTTTACTGGAGGTGGGCAGGGCATTGAGCGCACTCTGGATAGTGTCGTAAGTAGTCACATTTTCAATCGCCGTCTTCGACACGATGTACGCTCCAGCAGGAGGAACAGTTCCACCATACGCTGCTGGGATAGCAGTAGGAGTAGCGGTCGGTGTAGCCGTAGTGGTCGGGGTCCCGGTTGGGATGGTAACAGAGCCCCAGTATGTCAGATCAATCCAGTCAGTCGATCCCATGACTGCCTCAAGTGTATAAGTGTCCGAGGTAAGTAGAGTACAATTGCCAAAAGCCTGTCGAGCGACTGCATTATTCTCCCAATTACCCGGCCCTGAATTGTTGAACTCGGCGAACGTGATGTGGTCCGTACGGGGGTCAGTGGTACTCCAGATCTTCCATCCAGAGGGTTGGATAACATCACTCAAGAACGAATTCTTGACGACCACCAGGGCATAGGCGGAGTACGGACGACCGAGATACACGCTCTTGGTCAGATCGACCGTTGCATCCGGAGCGGCCTCGAATGTGCACTCATCGAATATGTACCCACCGACAGCAGAAGAGGATGCTCGGCTTTGCGCCGTAATGGCAGATTTGGCTCTTTTGGCCCCAATGGTGCATCCCTTGAAGTAGGCCTTGGAGTAGCCCCAGATGAAATCGATTGTGTGAATGTTACTCTCTCGCCTATGCTTCCAAATCAAGCTTAGCACCTCACGCACCATCTTCTTCAGCCTGGCAGATAGCTTCATCTTAGATAGTTCAACAATCAAGTCACATTATCATTCCATCACGTTCTCACAGATTGCACCCTCGACATAGCACGATTCGTAGTACTGATATCCGGCTGTACTGCCAGTCAACAGGGTATCTTGCCAACCGATAAAGCTACAGCCATAGAAACCAATTTGTGAGCCATAGATCGATGCGGCGAGAGTCACGTAGGACGACTGCGATCCATCCAAATTATCACTGTTGATGATGTTGATGTTGTAAAGCGCAATCTTGTTGCTGGCGGTGGACAGAGTTGCCGTCTCGGCGTCAGAGTGGCCTGTTTGCGGAGGAGACAGAGACAGGCCGCGTGCAAAGGTGATAGTAACTTGGTTGGTGCTGTATGTCTCGCCAGGGTTTCCTATCTGATAACCAATGATCTGAACAGGTCCATTCCGGTTGATCGAAGGAACCTGCTCAGTGTAGGTGCCAGGATACATGAAGATGATCTGGGTCGAAGCGTCATTGGGCAGAGCAGCCAATGCAGCCGTCAAGTTGCTGTAGGAACCGTTGACAGAGCCACCTTGGGAGACAATAACCGCGCCTGCTGGGGGTGTGGTTCCGCTGGTTGGATGTCCCCACGTTGCAGTCGCTGTGGAAGAGGGAGTCGCAGTAGTGGTAGGAGTGGTAGATGGTCCAGTGAGGCTATAGGAAGGAACATAGCTATACGCTGTCATGTCCAACCAGGTCGTATCCCCAATCCAGGACGAGAGTGTGTATGCGCTGGCAGCATCTGCAGTCAGGTTGGTTGCAAATGACGCGCGGCCGGACGACCATGCTCCAGGACCCGAGTTGTTGTACTCTCCAAAGGTGACGTGGTCAGTTTGGGGGGCGCTGGTAGACCAAATGCTCCATCCGGCGCTGTTGATGTGCTTGTCCAGGTAGGAGTTCATGTAAACGGCAATACTGTACTGGGAGTAAGGTCTGCCGAGGTACGTTTGACCAAAAGTAGTACCGTAGGAGTTGGTGTAGGTCATATAGCAACTGTCAAACACATACCCCCCAGCGGCAGTGGAAGAGGAACGACTCTGGGCGGCAATACACGCGCCGGCAGTATTCGCCGCGATGTAGCACTGGTGGAAATAGGCAGTCGAGAAACCCCAAATGTAATCGACCGATCCCTCGATGTAGCAATTCGAGAATACTTGCGTACCTTTGTTAGCCAAGAGCGTATCTTGGTAACCGATGAAGGAGCAACCGTATGCTGCCATGTTTGAACCGTAAAAGTCCGCAGCCAAGGCAGCGGTGTTCGTGGTCTGCGGGTACGTGTTAACAAAGTTGATGTTGTACAGCGCGAGTCCAGAGCCATCCGTCTTCTTTGCATAGATAACCGGAGTGCTTTCATCCTGGCCAGCACTGGTCAGGACACCGTAAGAAAACTGGATGGTAACCAGGTTTTGGGTGTAATCATTCTCAAAGGAGGTTTCACCACGAAGGGTAACCTTGCCTGCGCGAGTGATGGAAATCTGCTCGGTATAGGTTCCCGCCTTGATGTAGATTGTGTATGCCTGGCCATCATTAGGCAGCGCTGCGATGGCCTGGCTGACATTCGCGTACTGGCCAGCAGTGGGATTCTGGGAGACAACCAGGGTGGAGGACGGCGTGGCTGCGGTAGACGTCGCAGAGGCCATGCTGGAAGAGGTCAAAGCTGCAGTCGATGTGGCAACGGCAGACGATGTGGCCACGGCTGTGGATGCACTTTGAATCACGTCCGAGTTTGCAATGTCTGACAGGACATCCGCGTATACCCAGTTGGTAGACGAAGAGGCAAATTGAGGATATACGCCGGCAAATACCTGGTCTATCGAAAAGCGGGTCAGTTCCGACGCACTCATCAGCGACATGTATTGCGAGCGCGAGGCCTGATTGCTGGAGTAAGACCCCGCTCCTGTAGTCCCGTATTCACCATAGAAATTGAGGGTATTCTGAGTGGCTGCGTCGACATGCACACCCGTAGCAGCAATCAAACCCGCCAGATACGTGTTCCGGAAAACGACGACGGATCCTCCGCCATTGTTTGCTGCTGCCAAGTAGACGTTCTGGTTGCTCGTGCCGGACTTTTGCTGGACAGAGCAAGAATCAAAGATAACGGTCGAATTGTACAAGGTGGTTCCAGATGTGTAGCCCTTGTTGTAAACAAGAAGGGCGCTGGAACTAATAGGTACGATCGTGGTGTTGTAGATGTACAGACTGGGATAGTTGTAGATTACCTTGTCCAGGGCCTCGATATAGCTGTTGGCAATAATACCCAGTCCCAGACTGGCGGTGATACCTAAGCTTCCCGCAGACACGAACTGGCATTGGTAAAATGCATTCTTGGATCCGCGGATGGTGGCTGCCCCATAGCTACCCGTCGCGGTGTTGACAAAGTTGATGTTGCTGAATGTGATACCGAGGACGTTGACAGAGATGACGAGAGGGCTGGTAGCAGAGACGGTGACTTGATTTTGCGCATAGTCATTTTGATTGGCAGTTTCACCAACGATGGTGACCGAGGGTGTGGCAGAGACGGTGACCGCTTGGGTATAGGTTCCTGCTTTTACAGTGACAGTAGGAATCCCTTGTTGCTGAGCATAGGCGATGGCATCGCCGATTGCAGTAAACTGCCCGGAGCTATCGGTAGCAACAATGACCACTGAAGAGGAGGCTAGATGGAACAGGAGAGTCAGTCCGGCTGTTCCTTAGAGTGAAACAGGTCACGTACTCGGAGATGACAGGGCTGTAGGCGATGCAGTCGAAGAAGCGGCGGCAGTGACTGCAGCACATGCCGAAGCCACGGTCGAGCCAACGGTCACACATTGGGCAACTGCTAGGCTGGCTAAGCCAGTCAGGCCCCAGGCGTGCCAGGAACGCATTTTGGCACAACTGGACGGACCGAATTCTCAGGCCCTTGTAGAAAATATTTTGTCCCTGAGATGGCAGTGATGAGCTGACCACAACCGCCTGTTCAAGGGGAAAGAAACACTCCTAGGCGCGATGAAGAAGATGTTACTCCTATATATCCCAGCGCAAACAGAGTTTACGCCTCTCATCTCTGCCATATCGACCTAAGGAAAGCTACGAAGTAGGGCAAGCCCTCCGGGGCCGAGGAACAGAAATTCACCGACCCTTGGAACTATCGACGCCTACTTCGTCCATTATAGTTCGGGCAAACATAAGCGATGCATTAGACCTAAAGGTCTGAGAGTCGTCGAAAAATCGTGCACTGATTGTGCTTTGCTCACGACATCGCCATCAAGTACTCATAGTCTGGCGGGATCTGGGCCATGGCCCGGCTCATGGAATAGTCCCAACACGGCATTTTTCCAGTGGCTCGATGTACTTCCAGCTCAACAGAGGGCCAGAACGGCAGTGTTTCGTGTCGGTTTCGATCAAGACTTGGTGCATTGGATACCGGAAGCTACCGGACCACGTGGCACCCATATTTTTAGTCAGTCTGGATCATTCAGTAGAACGCTTTATTGGCAGTTTGATGCTGAACATAATAGATATTTTCCGTCAATCACAATGAGCATGATGCCAATTTTCCTTTCTCTACCTTAGATCCTGCAGAGACATGGTGAGCTTAGCCCAATACTAGTCCAGAAGAAGCAGTTATCCCGAGGATCACGGAGCTGAGGTTTTTCAGCGAATCATCAGTCGTACTGCCGCCTGAGAATGGAGCCAACTTAGCAGTTATCAGGATCTGTCCAAGCCGTGTATTATTCTATTATTATGTCGGCTAGCGTAGCCTTCGTTGTCAACTGCCCTGGAGTGGAGTCGTCCAAAAACTTTCGCTTCTCAGTAAATGGAGGCATCGAGTTTCGGCCGTGGTTTGATTCGAATGTCGGGGTTCAGACTCGGAGATTTTGAGCAACGTTAAGTGTCATATCTTCCCTATAATCTGTGAGACGAGTATTTAGACCTTGATTTCTATTATTGGGGAAAATATTCCCTGGCAGAAATTCAAAAAAGTCAGTGAGGGAATGGACTTGCCGCGCTTTAACGTGCTGGGTGGTTTGTCCTAGTCAGCGCGATATCTGTATAGAATTCTGGACAGGATGTTATTATTTATATTATTCTATCCAGTCCTATGGCCCCAGAATTCAAAGATCGTGAATCCAAGTGATCGGTTCGCTGATCAGCGCTGATCAGGATCTGCAAAGATCGCTCCACACTCTCCATCATCTCAATCACCACTAGTACAAGGATGCAGATGATTGTATGCCGACATGTTTAGAAAATGAATATAACTCCCAGTCAGTATACAATTGCGTTAGTCTATGTTTTAACTGGATCATCTCCTGCACCTTTATTCGGTTGCCAGCGTCGATGTGTCTCAGCTCGCGGATATATATTATGTCCGGTTGGACATAATGACTATTGGAGGTGGTGTCTTCTGTTGAGGTTATTCCTTTCGAAAAGAGTAGACGCGAGACTGTAGAGGATTTCCATAGGGTCATGCTCTCCATTCCTCTGGTGTAGCAATGTATACTTCCTCGTTCTGCTGTGTTGGTTACATGAATGTTCCTCAATGCGCTAAGTTTTCTTGCCTCCTTGGAGTAGAGTTCACTATGTCCGCACTTTACCAACAGATTAAAAACGGAGGTGCATACCATCGGGGCCAATAATGCTGTTTGTTGCTACGTCGTGCCCTAAGTACCCCTGCTAAGGTATAAGCGGGCCCCGCAAAAATGACTCGCGAAAGTCGGCTAAACGCATAGCTGTCCTCAAAATTGATTCCTAACAATCAACATTCTTCTACTGGAGGCCTCTTGCGCTTGCTTTAAACGTGTTTGACATTACAGACAGACCATCCTTCGCAATCTGATATCCGTGGGTTGAATTGCTGCTCGGTTTGCCAATTTTGCTCAAAAGTCGGGGAAAGGGATAGATTGCCTAGCAAATCACCATCGAACGATATATTGCGGCCCCACAAGATCTTACTTCCTAAGAAAATAGTTCATATTTCCGATAATAGCAGCCAATCATGCCTCAGATAGCTCTGGTTGCGGTCTAGCTATCCCTACTGGCGTCGGAGGAGTCCCGAACCGCCAAATTCCCCTCTATGAATCTTCCTGAACCAGGGCAGCTACTTTGACGGAGTCTCGCAGAATCAACAAGCCTACCCTTATATACCGAAAGTCATATAAAACGATGATATCGACCACTACGGAAAATTTGTCGAATTGCGCATTTGCTGTGGTTGATGAGAGTGTCATATTGATGATGAGGCGTAGCCGAGGCTGACCCTGTCTGAGTGTGGGACATATGCATGCTAGACACATGCTAGCAATCATTATTAATCTATATTCATTTACTTTGTACAACGAAGGGTTTAGTGACAGGGATTAGCTAACGGTCGACAGAGTTATCCTATACCGAGAAATCTGTCCTTCTAATCCCTGTTGATTCTGTGTATGTCCCGCTTATGTTGGACTCCATGCTGCACCCAAGGCCGACAGGGATGTCAGACGAGGGGCGGGGGTAGTATTAAACCCCCTGTGCCTCTCTGCGGGTGTTTTCATTTCTTCCAAATTTCTCTTATCCACAGAGATAGACACCATTCATATCATCAAAATGGGTGACGCCGACGCTCTTCCAGATTATGTCCTTGACCCCAACGCCGTCTTGAACGACAAAGACGCTGCCTGGCGCCATGGCGCACCCCCAGATTATTCCAAAACAAGAGCATTCTACCAAGAGAGTACGCAAGCCCCATCAAGCCTCAGGTTATGAATCCTTAAAGACTAATCATACCCGCTGCAGCAAAACAAATGAACCACCAGGCGGGCAGCCTCCCCGATCTCGCCTCGAACCTCGTCAAGAACTGGGAGATCGAAGCATCCTTCAAGACCTCCCTCGACGACTGGCGCACAATCGACCACAGCAAATACACCTTTTCGCTGAACGGCGGACCTCCCCAGACAGGCGACCATATGCTCCGGGTGGGCACTTACAACGCCTTACTCACATCCAGCTCGTACTACGACCCCGAACATAATGATTTCTCGACAAGTCACAAGGCGTTCAAGCGGATGATGCCGACGTTTGCGTGGGAGGTCTTGGAGGTGTATAGCGGGCCCCCGGTTGTGATCTTCAAATGGAGGCATTGGGGGTACATGGCGAATGATTACGTTGGGTATAACAAGTATGCATCTACCTTTCTGGATAAAGAAAGATTCATACTAACGCTTCTGCTAGTGGTGGAGAAAAGGTCACTGTCAAAGCGCACGGTGGTCTGATTGATATCCAAGGCATCGTCATTGCCAAGGTCAACAGTTCGCTGCAGCTGGAAAAGATTGACGTTTGGTTTGACCCTATGGATATGTTCCGCCAGATTTCGCGTGAGGAGAAAGTCGAGGGTGAGAACAAGGCTGCAGCAGATGCTGCGGCTGGCTGTCCCGTGCTGGGCCATGGGACCGTTTAGAACGAGTAAGCTTTCGATGAGTGGAATGAACGGATGGACCAGATCAGGACAAGCACTGCGACGAGGTGATTTGATTTTGGTGCCGAGAATGTCTCTTTCTTATCCTTTTCCTACGGATGGCCTCCGAAACAGCCCATATACTCCACGGCATCCACGTTGAAGTGGCTAGACTCGTAGTATTATGACTCAATGGCGGAAATACCGCAGAGGTCTGATGAGTTCACAGTGCGCTCGAGCTTTCATCGAGTATAAAACTATATAGAACCCATAACAGTAGACATGGCGAGGATGTACATGGGTGCAAGTTCAATGCTAAGATGCATATGACAGGTTACTAAGGCGTCAGCTGGTGGCTACAGTCCTCGACAGAAGCAGCACCAACAGAAGCATACACGTATCCAATCACGAACGCCAATACCGCAATAAAAACCTTAGTCTAAATACATGATGAGATATGCAAGACATCAAGCAATCTTATAGTGTCCGTAATACCCGATAACATTGAGACACTAGCGATTTTTGCAAAAAGATCACGCACTGACTAGAACGAAAGTCGGGAATAGCTGAGAGAAGCCTGTGTACTGCGGTCGCGAACAGCCGTTCTTTCTGGCGAGTGGACAGCATAGATTTGGGGAGACTATGCTGTGTACTCTAGCAAGAACGCTTTCGCACAGGATGCTGCACATACGGCCGCATAGTTCTGCCATCTCTTGCTCTTATGGCAATCGGCATAGTCACAGACCCCCTTGATAACGACAGTGGGGAAACGCCTCCATACCCCAGCTGCTTCCATTTCGAAGCCAACAACACCAGCGCTAGCAGCCAACTGGTCGCGCTTTTCACCGCACATGATGACGCTATCGCCAGTGGCTATCGGTCCGAAATGGATAGTCGGTCGAGGGTCTGGTGACGACTCATCCGAAGGTTTTGTCCGTACCCGCTGCAACCGTGCCGCATCCCTAACGCAACCTAACTGTTCGCAAGTTGACTTGAAAGCCTGGCGGCAAAACTGTTTCCTATTGCCAGGGCTGCTGCAAACATCACATTGCACGGGGCTCCGATGCTGATGCTGGTAGGAAGGAGGAAAAAGCCGATCCTTGTCCATTCCTGGATAGCCGAACTCCTCCGCTCCAAGCATGTTCAGGGCCAGAGCCAAGTTGTTGGCCGTATTAACTACCAGGCATTGGTATCCTCGCGCACTGTACAACTTATGTATTAGGGCTTGAGGTTTCCCATTAGCCTGAACCCTGTTTCCGGTGTTGAAGGAAAGTGGATTGAGATTGTCGAAGGCCAATACATTTGTTTCGTCGTATAATAGTAGCTCGGTGCTGATGATCACATCCCCAAGAAATCTAGCATGTCCATCCTGAGTGTATGGAACCCCTCCACACACTCCAACAATTAGGGCTAGCTTTATGCTGGGATAGCTCAACGAGATACTTGCCGCTGCGCTCGACGCGTACAGCTTTCCCATTGCGGCCATATGGACCAAGACGACATAGTGCTGGCCAATCCTCCCCACTGTATATTTGTTCTTGTCTCGGGGGTGTGATGCCAGGTCGGTGCCGCCGCCACAATCAAATATTTCGTCGAATACAGCCTCCACCGCTCGGGACTCATGCGGCAGGGCACAAATAATGGCGATGGTGAACTGCTGTCGGCGTATATGGCGGGAATAACTGATCATCTTGGCCGCCATATTATAACGAGGATCGCAGCTCCAGTGAAAGTGTGTCCTGCTTTAGGGCTCTATATTCTTTCAAAAAAATGACTCTGACAAAAATTAGACCTCAAAACTATGCTGGATGCTTAGGATAGAACAATGATGATAATATCAGGCGAGCCCGCTGCATCTTATATCGATACTCCCTCTAAGTTCGCGCCGCAAAAGCAGTAAGTGATTCCCGTCCGTGCGACATTCGTCCTGGACTTGTCTCATGTTGTGTCGCATAATCCATTCTAGTGGTTCATACGTCTTGCTCTCTTCCTTGGAATGCTTTGCTTAGCCGCCCATCATCATACCTCCAATGGCGTCTCCGCCGTTGGCGCCTGAGACTTACCAGCCTTGTTTCATGTTGTTGGAGTCGTAGCTGAGCAGCCCCCTTGCTATTAATAGCCAATACAGTCCATGAGTTGATTCTTAATGGCCTGAGCCGCCCGCCCAGCTAAGGAGTGTACGTCGCAACTAAACCTCTCCCGCCGTTCTAGACACCCAGTGTATATTTAACCAGTAATTTCGTGCCAAGTATTTAATTGCTGGAGCCAGATTAAACGACTAGGGAAAGGAGAACTTTTGACGCAATGAGCTCGGGGCTATAAGTCAGTGGGCGGCTGAGCTGCTTCTACCAGATCATTGCTTAAGCGAATATTGTCTCGATTGTGAAACATAGGTAGACATGATCAGTACAGCAAGCACTAGAACCTAGACCACTGTCTGCGCAATTGATTGTCCTCGAGTCTTTCTACTTTATTGCAGGCCTGGCGACCGGTCAGCCTTCTGTTCAAGTGTTCTTCCGTTCTATAAAGGTGGTTTCAAAACTTACACTGAGAGTAATACGCGTTCTGGTAAGTGCACGTCCATCCACTCGGGCAGACAGTTGGCCCGGTGTATCCGGTACCACCACACTGTCCGTACGGTGTACTAGTCCCAGTAGAAGTTGCTGATGTCGTAGTCTTGGGTGTACTAGTAGTCGTCGTCGACGCCTTAGTGGTCGTGGTCAGCGTTGTTGAAGAAGTCGTGGTACCAGACGGCTTTGTGCTCGTCGATGTCGTCTTGGTCGTAGTCGCTGTAGCTGTTGAAGACGGGAGACTTCCACTCGGCTGACCGTAGAAGATACCCCTTCCATTCGTGCCCATAAACACACGTCCATAGTTTGACATGTCGCCATTGACCACATTAGCAGATGCAGAGCCGAAGCCATGCGTAGAATCGGAAATCATCTGCCAATTCGTGCCCATGTCCTCGGTCTTGAACAATGCCCTTGTACCATCAACGGTGAAGAAGCCGTAAATCACAGCATAAGAGCCGGTTGACGAGCCCTTACCGAGACCGAAGCTCCAGCCTGCCGTGCATCCACCCCCAATTTGAGCGAAGGTCTTGCCGTAGTCTGTAGAGTGCCAGAGACCGGTATCGGTAGTAGCCCAGACATCACCCGCAATAGAGGGATGGGCGCGAATGGCGTTGACGGCAGTGCTGGAGCCAAGGGCCGTAGTCTTCGCGAACGAGGCGGCACTGTTGGTGGAAACGTAAAAGGAGCCGGCCGACCCGCCATAGAAGACGGTATTGTTGGCCTTGTCAGACGCAATGGCCGCCCCGGAGGGTAGAGATGAGACAGCACTGAATGTGCTGCTATACTTCGACACCATAGCCCCATTGGAGTTCATGAGCAGGACGGTATCGGCGTCCGCGGAGAGAGCAACGGGTCCGGTGGGCGTGGTGGAAGACGCTGCGTAGTTTGCCGACCAGGTCTTGCCGAAGTCCGTAGACGTAGCAACGGTAGGATCCGTGTCGCTGGCCCCCGAGCGAACAAGGTTGGATGGTTTGTTACCAGCGTAATCAATGCCGTTGGTAGTGCCATATGTTGGGTTATGGAAGGATTGAGCCGGTGCCTTGGTGAGATCTGAATGGTAGAATCCTCCAACGTCGCCAACAGCAGACAGCAGTGGTGGTCCGCCTGGAGGAGCAATGAGTCCAAGAACAGCCATCTCTTCGATTCCGACGGCGAGAGATTTCAAGGTGACATTATGCGCGGAGTCCCACTTCTGAATGTCATGGCCACCATAAATTGTCGCGCCGGTGCCGTACAACCAGTGGTTGGAATCGAATGGGTCGATTGCGAGAGCCTCGACCATCCAGCCGACACGAACGGGAAACTGAGCTGTTGAGGTGTTGTCTTGCAGCCAGGGGGCATTGGATATATCGTAGCTATAGTAGTAGTTCAGGTTAGGATATCCGTTCCAGGCCCAGATGGGAGACCACGTCGTTCCGGAATCCACGCTCCTGAAGATCAGTCGTCGGGCCACCAACAATTCAATGCAGCTACCATCAATGTCCCAGGGACTTGCAGGTCAACGGATAAACCGCCATAGCCATAGTATGTGCTTGCCACGGGAGTAGGGCTGATGTCGGTCCACACTTTGCTGGTGATGTTATACTTATGTACCGTTCCATTGGTGCCATCATACTGACCAGCTCCGTTGGAATATGAGATGTAAAGAGTCTTCTCAGCTGGAGACAGCACTCCTTTATGAGGCAGAAAGCCGTACTGTGGCTCTCCGGTAACCCAGGACCCTAGCTTTCAGTTAACGGAGGTATCGAATCGAATAGATGCAAAGAACCTACATGTCGATCCGGCGTCTTCGGACACAAACACTGATTTACCAGTGTCCGCAACCCCTAGAAAGGATTAGACCATTGTTCGAGATTTCCTGCTATCAAAACATACCAACAAAGATGCGTGGAGTGGGAGAGCCACTTGAACCAGACGTGGAATCGAATGTTAACCAAGCAATGCCAACAGGGTCGGACGTATATGTAGAACTGGCATCCTGGAAATATGTTCCTATTCCCGGTCAGCTTCTCGTCATATGGAATCATCGGCATTGTGCCTTACCGGTCCAAATAAAAGAAGTGATATTGGACCAGGTCGCTCCGTAGTCAGTACTCTTCCAGAGGCCATGGCCACTCCTCGCGCCAAAGTAGAGGACGCTGTTATCGTTCGGGTCTACAGCAAGACGCTACATGGTCTTAGCCGGGGAAACAAGCAACGCAATTTAAGTTACTCACCTCGCCCATACCACGACCAGGCATGTTTCCTCCTACTTTGAACGGTAGCTTTGTTTCTGACCAAGTATTACCCTTATCGGTCGAGCGCAGAATTGAGCCAACGTTCGGGTCCCATTCGTTCGTGTACATCCCCACCGTCAAGTACAAGCGATTGGTATCAATGGGATCGGTAGCGAGTGCATCAACACCCCAGTTATGCCTAAATCGTCAGTACATTCCACTTATAGTTCAGATTACATACCAGTTACTGTTACCCACAGAGTCCTGTAGAGGCGTCCATGTGTCGTCCGAATTGAGACGGTAAACGCCTCCAATATCAGTACGAGCGTACGCTACTCCCTTGGCTGATGGATTGAAAACGATTCCTGGAACGAAGCCTCCGCCTCCTGGATAATATTGTTAGCTAGATATCAGCCTGGCCATATTTAGTATACTTGCCCCCTGTAACGACATTTTGCCAGGTATAAGCTTGTGATGCGGCTCCGTGGGCTGCATCAAACAAGAGGCCAATAGCCAGCAGGACCACGCTCGGGGTCTGTATCATCTTGGTAGTGGAAGCTCATAAGGCCTGACAATTGTAGTGGCCAAAGAAGTGCGGTTTTTGGGAATTTATGTCTCATCTGCACGGAACTCTCTCCGCTCCTGTCCAATCCGATTCTAAAGCAATATATCTCCCCACGGCAGGGTACAGGGATGTCTGCCGATGGGACATCCGCATTTACACCATGATATGCATTCAGCTCCAATTCAAAGGACTCTGAGAAGGTTCATCACGTCCGCGGGAAATGGGTGATACCTGTTAGGTTTTCTGCATATGCTTCCACCAGATCGAAAGGATAGCAGGTCGTCTCGGCGCAAGGGGCCGAGCAACCGTTGACTTTCAGGAACAAGACGCATTGCTTAAATTGAATAGTGACGGATTCATCACGGATGCCGTTCCGATGCATGTCCACCCCGCGATACACCCCATACTTTACTTGCAGAATGGTGACTATGTGGAGTCCGGCAAATGTCCACATAAAGCAGGTGAAGCTTGGCAAGCCTCTGCCTTAATTCTGCGCGGTAGATTTCTGATACGATTACAGGGCCGTGGATGGTCATCTGCACAGTGCGGATGAGCCATCGTGTGGTGGTGGCGCTGAGTGCAGGTTGTAATTCCGAAATGATCGAAGTGCGATTGGAGGAAGAAACAGATTAATGGAAGAATGTACCGCAGAATCAGGGGTATGCCAATTAGCCGATGCGGGGAATTGTGGACAGATATATTAGTCCTGTAGAGTGACGATGGTGCAGAATGAATATGATAATTCCGCACAGAGACAGGGGACCCCTTGTGGAAGTGCATGCAGCACTATGCCTAGAAGTGGATCCGTATTTTCCTGAAGACTGCAAAAATAGCGGGAATTTGATTGAATTGCATACTTCGTCAACTGCTAAATATAAGGTGTACTCTAATCACCAGGCATCGTCTTCAGACACATACCGCGCGGATATGCGGAGCCAAAAACCTGGGGTATTCCTGAATCCTGATGCATTCGGACTCCGGCCCGCAATGCCTATAGTCAGTTTGTCTCACCCTCAATGTTACTAAGCCAGGAAGAAGATAAATAGACTTTACATCATTCATCTGTCAGGCTATGTGCAAAAACATGGCTATCGAACGTGTCTTAGCCGCATTCCCCACAGGATCCTACATCGAACTAACACTTGGCCAAAGATCGTCTTCTCGATGTCGAAGATGTCCTAGTGCATGCAGCTCCAAAGAGAAATAGAGGCGCAAGGGGTAATGAACCTCCTTTCTTCCTTTGTCGCCTCCCGCCGCGCGATCTCTCTCCATATGTCGTCCTCACTACTTACCATGCTGGGCATACTTGCTCCTCATCCGGATGCGCTCCCCGTATATGTACAATAAGAAAGGATATGGCGCGAATAGCACGGTCAAGCAACCCAGTAACGTACAAGCCCAACCAACACCGAGATTATGGAACATTTGCGTCGCAAATAGGGGGAAGGCGCCGCCGAAAGATGATCGTAAGAAGTCGTTTCCGGCAAGGACCGAGGCTGCATATTTCGAATACCCCTGTGCCTCGTAGCAGAAAATGCCATTGAAGATAAGGTATCCCCCAAAGGAAAACAGCGTGGAAGCGATAATAGGCATAATCCAATGGACGCTAGCAAAGTTTCCAGTCCAACCAAACCAGAAAAGGGATATTGGCAGACACACAGCTCCAAAGCATGCTGGAGGGAGGTGTTCTTCTGGGGAAAGATGACCATCTGGGTTGATGTGTTTGGATTGCCAGCGATACTTCCAATAGGAGTATATCGGGAGAGCAATGAATACCGCCCCTGTCATGATACCCAGGAATGCCAGGCCGGTTTCTCCTGGGTTAAAGCCGTGTTTCTCTTCAAAGACAATCGGAAAGGCTTCGAACCAGATATATAGAATTCCGTAGATAAGGGCAATGTAGAGGTTCATCAGAAGCACAATGGGTTCGAGGAAGCAAAGCGCGAATGGACCGACCAGCGCTTCAAAGAGGACATCCTATTCTCACCTGTCAATTATCATATGCTATCAAAAAGAGGTTTGCACGCAGGCTGACCCTGGAAGCAACCCGAGCAATCTCAATCTCAGCCTCGGACGCATATCTCCGATCACCTGTGATTCGGCGAATACGCCGCGCTCGGCGACTGAGAATGTTGGGGGCAAATGTCTCGGGCAGAAAGAAGACGAGAAGAACCACGGCAAAGCCGGATATCCAAAGCAGCTCCCAGATAGTCCACGTCCACCCCTTGGCGGAGGAGGCAAACCCTCCCACGAGAGGGCCCAGCACGGGAGCGGCGACGGCGAAGCTTGCCCAGACCGCAATCATATAGTCGCGGATTCTAGGGCTCCACATATCTCCCATCGAGGCTCCCCCTGTCGCCAGGACGGGCGAGCCCATGAAGCCGGTTATGAATCGAAATGCTAGAAGCATCCCAAAGTTCTTCGCGTAGATAACACCAAACTGAAAGAAAACAAAGACTACTAGTGTTGCAACATATACCGGACTTCGTCCCATCGTGGGGAGCTCTGATATTGGTGCCCAGATCATTGGTCCTGAAATATTCACTTAGTATTGACCGTGGTCGATGTCAATCAGTTTGAAAGTAACGCAGCTCACCCAGTCCATATCCCACTACAAATAGTGTCAGACCAAGAATTCCAGCCTCCCTACTCACACCAAACTGCTGAGCCACACCCGGGATCCCGGGGGTGTAAATAGCGGAACCAATATAGATAGAGAATGTCAGAAGGCAGATAAGAAAAGTGACTAAGACCTTTTTGCGGATACTCCAATTTTGTGGATTCTACCAATATCAGCCAAATACCCAACCTTGTCGGCCAGAGAACTCGTCAAGCATTCTTAAGGTAATGGTGTTCTACCTCACTATCGCCGGCATCACTCCAGCCGATTACCTCGGACGATCCATCCTGTATCCCACGCCATGGGCCTGCCAAAACACTTTTCAGAGGTACCTTTGTCGCTTGCAGCGACAGGCTTGCGACATGACCGGGTACAAGGCATTCTGCTCGTAGAACTCTTCGCTACCAGTCGTCATGGATTCCTCCCGGTAGATCTCGGGCCATTCTAGGTATTTCCACCAAGTGGAATCATCCGTTTCTTCCGGGTACAGTAAAAGCCTGTAGCCGCTGAAAATGCGAACTAACTTGCCGAATTCTGAGTCCCGGATTGTCTCCATTATAACATGTATCCTAGAGACTACTTTGACAAAGTGGTCAAACCAGTGAGTGAGGTTTTGGGGTTAGTTAAAGGCAGCTATTTCAATCGCTGGTGTAGTTATTCTTTCCGTAGAGTATAAATATCATGCTATTATGAATCTCAAATAACAATAAATTGTCACGCCACGCGGTCGATATCTCACTGCTGAGAGGTTTCCTTATAAGCCAATTCACATGTTGCCAAAAATGGAAACAACATCTGATTCTACTGAGACAGGGCGGTGACATTATGAGGTAAAATCGGAGGTCGCTCCAGTTGTGCATAGCTGAGAATACACAGTACTTCGTCATCTATGGCAAGAGAATTGCTCTCCACTATAGGTGAGCATGTCCTCTCATCCTGGTCATTCTTTGATCTTAGAAGCGCAGTAAAACAAATTTCCATTCTCATTGCAATATGTTAGGGTCGTTTGACGTCCCCTGTGAGGTGGGTACGTTAATTGGTCCAGATAGATCGGCTTGTGGTCTTTTACGATCGAGACCTTGGGATCCTCGGTAGACAGTACCGATGACATCAAGACATCCATAAACCTTCCGTCTCTGGTGCACATCTTGAAATAAAGTTTAGTCGCTAGCGGATGATCGTCTTTTAAGGTTTGTGGGGTGCGCCGATATCTTGCAATGCTCCACGCATCATAGGTACGTGAAAGTTTCATTCCAATGTCAGTGCTGTACCGTTTCCGTCCGTGGTCAGGTCAAAATGGTGGTATTATCTTTAACTGGAACTAAAACATTACAGCAAGGAATTCTTCAAGCTTCTCTCCTCGTTACTCAGATGAGTAGAGCTCCCTGAGACTGCCACCATCTGCTTCCGCGTAATTTGCTGGCCCCGTCACATTTAATAATACGTTTATAGCGACCATACGCTTTATATTTCAGCAAAAAGGCATGTGACGGAAGCCCTCGCTGACAGCTCTTTAGTATGCAAGGCTGCATGCCTTTACGCCCAAGCGACGGAATGATAAAAGGAAAGTCTCATTCTCCACAGGATGGTCACACGCTGGTGGCTTGCGTCGGCAAACTTCCCTGTCGTTGCGGTATGCCCCCTAACGCTCCCAGGTTAGAGGTTAATCTGACCGATGTGCCCTCCAGGGAGTACTATGTACATCGGCCACAATGTTCAATATTTGCGCTGTATCCCAAGGATGGCGAGAGATAATAGACCCTGACGGCAGCGTAAGGACCATAGATCAGCCAGCCTGGTACGTTCAGCGCTCTTTCGTCTGCTTCTAATTGGCTTAATGATCAAACCAGGGCTGTGGTTCTTAAGGCCGTATCGGTGGCACTGGCCGTTGTTGCTTACATCGTGCTTCTGCTTACGATGATATCCAAACGTGACCCGGTCAAAGGATTTATTGTGACGATTCTGTGCTGGTGTGCCTCAGCAGCAACACTGCTCAGTGTCATTGGTGTTATAGCTGGGGAACATACAACAGTGGACCCTCGGCAGACGCTTCGGTATACACAAAATTACTTCTATGGGACATTCGCTGCGAGCCACTACGTACTGATTGCTGTGCTGTTAGCAATTTACACAGGTAGTGTGCACTCGGTGCATCTGACTCACGAGGAAAGACGGACTGTCGAATGCACAAGCATCATCCTGCGAGTGACCGCTTTCTGTGTCTTTCTGCTCGGGGGTGCTGCTGTCTACGCGACTATTGAAGGCTGGGCGTTTATGGATGCCTTGTACTGGGCGGACTACACTCTTCTAACAATCGGTATCGGAAACATTGCCCCGAAGACTCACCTCGGACGAAGCTTGCTATTTCCATACGCCTCTGCAGGCATCTTGAATACAGGTCTAGTGATCACCTCGATGACGTCATTCACAGAGGAAATGCGAGAACTAAGCATCAAATTCAAGATCGAGGAAGTGCACAGCGGTATCCAGGGGCGCCAGACTAGCCATGAATATGCTGGCAACAATCGCAGTGACAAAGAGAAGCAACCACTGCAAATGCCAGCTGATCCCCAGTACCCAAACAAGGCTGACCTCTTGAAGCTCCAACGCATCAAGCGCGACTTCTATAGAAGACACCGATGGATGACTTTGATCTGGTCGGGGGTAGCACTGTTCTTGCTCTGGCTAGTCAGTGCTGCTATTTTCCGTCGCTCGGAGAGAAGCCAGAAGTGGACTTATTTTCAGGCTCTCTATTTCACATACACGTCTCTGACAACCATCGGCTACGGAGATCTTTACCCGACCAGCAATTTCGGCAAGGCATTCTTCGTGTTCTGGTCGCTTCTGGCTGTCCCTGTGTTGACTAACCTTGTTGCTGCCATGGGGCAATTGGGGTTTGAGAAGTTGACTTATTTGTTTCGCTATCTTTGGAGTTTCCAGGCTTCCAGACTAGGCAGGATGAACCCCGACGCTCACCGCGAAAGTGAGAGAAATAAATCAGTCCCAGGCTCGGGCATAACCAACGACAGCAACAGTCGTGCCTCAGAACCCAGAAACTCCATGCAACCATCCAACGGTGTACAAAGCAGTTCAACATATGAAAAGAAGGAGTCTGGTAAATCGCTCGTCCAAGCTGCTCAGCGCTCCCTTGACCTCGGCGAGGAAATTCACAAGCTCATATCTACACTTCAAAGTTCGTCTACTACCCAGCTAGATCTGTACACCGAGTGGGACAGGATTCTTCCACTTCTCCATCCTGAAAGCGACGGGTGTGACTTGTCGGAAACCACCTCTCTTGCAACGCTCTATGGCCATACGGGAACTGTGCTACAAGTCTTAGACACCGACAGACCGACCACAGACATGAAGAAGGAAATCCTGTGGATGCTCAAGTTCTTGACGCAAAAGGTCTGTTCGCATTTACGGGAGGGCCTGGAGAGAGAGCAAAGTGGAAGGTCAAACACACAGTCCTAAGTCAGGGGAATAGTGGTTCGTGGAGAGTACGGTACAATATACAGAAGGCTTTTAATCATGGATATCCTCTAGATCATCTAGAGCACCAAACTGGAGTAGAGGGTTGCTCTATCTAGCACTGCAGATAGTTACCAATGACTGGCAGCGTCTACTATATGATATTCTATTCACTGTTCTCCTAATCAGAATATGATTAAGCACCATCTAGAACGTAAGCTTACCAGAACACTGAATCCTAATATGTGTGGAATGAGCAGAGAGAGGTTCAGAATATGAAGATATTTCATTAATTTATTATGTATGTAAATCTATGTTTACTATTATACAGTGGAAGGAGCTATCTACTAAGCAAGATCATATAATTAGATCTCTGCTATACTGAGTATAGCCATACACCCCTAGATTTAATTAATGAGGTTATAGCTACTTCCTAATTAGGTAGTTAATCTATAATTATAGTATTAAGATCTGCTGTTCACAGTGCTCTACTAGGCTAAGCCTAGCACCTTAAAGAATTAATTAAACTTTAGATAACTAAGTAGCTTTATTATAAGATCTATAATTATTTTATCTATTAAAAGATGCTATAGGAAGACCTGCTTCTTAACTATTATATCTCTAATCTAATAATAATTAATATTAATATACTTACTATAAGTATAGAATTAAGTATTATAGGCTAGGTCTATAGTAGGCTAGCTATTAATATTAATCTATATAGAGTATATACTATTAAAGCTAATATCTTTAAGGAGATAGGTAAGCTAGATAGCTTCCTTTATAGTATAAATAATAGTAATATATTTAGCCTTATATATAGATAAAGAGATAACTAATTATAGCTTAGAAGCCTATAAGATAGGCCTATTACTAAATATAAAGATATATCTAGTAGTTAAATAGTGTATATTAATATATCCTATATAATCTATATTAATATAGTTAATAATAATACCTAGCTTACACATAATATCTTTTGTATTATAAGGCTTATAGATAATTCTGATATCTAGGGTCTAATAGAAGAATTAAATAAGATAAATAAGATGCTTAAGATATAATTTATTAGGATTTATAGTATATCTAGCTAGCTTCCTAATAGTAAAGATAGTATCTGGCCTAGTCTATAATATTAGATATATAACTAAGCTAACTCCTGCTCTATATCTCTCTTTAAGTTTAAGATTATATCTAATAGGCTTATCTAATTTAACTAGCTAAGCACCTTCTTCTATAGGTATTACTATAGTTTTAACTAAATATAGATTAAATATATTAATAAGATATTAAAGGTAAGTATATTAAGATAGCTTAATCTATCTTTTCTTAATATCTAGGTCTATCTTCATGCCTAGATAATAGGTAGCTAGGCTAATAAGTAAAATATTAAATAGCTTACT